GAAGTTGAGGTTGACCTATTTTACTATATTACTACTTTGAAGACGTATTCTAGGAATGTAGGATAAAAAATATATTTGGACTTTCATAAAAATATGATTCGATGGAAACCTTTTAAGATTAGAAGAATTTAACGTGCCAAATAAGTAAGTGTTAAGAATAAAAATGATTTTTTTGTCTTCTTTTTTACGGTGTTTTAAGTAAAAATAAGATTGTTTTACATATAGCTGACAAGTATCTTCTTTAAAGTGGCGTGATCTGTCACAATAAGGAACTTTCTTCCATTTCAGACCAATAACAACTTACTCCTTGTCTCATTTTTATTTATGAAATAAAAATGGCTTTAGAGGATTTAACAATATTAATATTAATTAATAGAAAAAATTATATTAAACTCACATATCACGAAGTTTGCAATTTATTGAATTTATTTCTTTATATTCATAAGTTTAAGTATTCTTCTTAATAATTCTTTCTTTCTTCTAATTCTATTCAAGTTAATATATGTAGTTGTAACTTGTTTGTAGCTGTATATTCCAACGATTACATGAAACTTGCACTACACGTAAGTAATGAAAATGTCTTCTTATATGAATACACGAGATTTACAATCACTATGTTTGTTTGTCTATATTAGTATCTTCCACATTCTTTAAGTTCTAGAAGTAAATCCATAAGATAAACACCTCAAAGTTAAGACGTTGGAAAAACAGAAGTATTTCAGACTAAATAACAACTCATAGAGCCGCCACAAACAGGGTCACCTCTATAATTTAATTATGCCCGGCGCAATTAAATATGGACTCTATTTTTAATTTTTTAAGGTCGTGTATTGAAAGAACTTGAGTCACTGCAGTGGGTCGAGTATGACGCAATGCATCAGCCGGTAATGCCTGGTTTTTGAAAGCCGATTTTTGTATGTGTGAATGGCAAAAGAGCAACTTACACTACTCACGCCTCGCACTGAAAGCCTGAATTATACGGAGAGTGAGAGTTCGCTTAAGTTTTTTACCTTTTTAGAAAAAAATTACGGCAATTAACTAATTGTGTCTATTTATAGACCTTTTAATCAATATTTCAGAACTATTAAGCTTGTTTTTAACCCTAAATTGCGTTATGAATAGGTATACTTTGACTTAAAAATGATTTAATACAAATAATTTTATATATATACCTAGAATAGTAGAATAGAAAGAAATATACTGTTTGAAATGAAACTATTTTTCTTGGTATATATTGCGCGGGTTTATCTTCATATATAGTATTTTCCTGACGTTTTGATTACGGCAGCCGTGATCAGGGACAGACGAGATGAAATTGTAGAGACACTTTAAATGTAAAATAAAATAATATAACCACGTAGTGCATGTGACAAATATGGTTTATTTAAAATGGGTTTTGGTGTAAATTTCGTAATAATAAATATACTTCAATCAAAAATACAATTTATATAAATGAAACTAATATTCTTCAGATTATACGTAGTCTAAAAACTACATACAACCGAGTTTTCAGTTACTTTACAGCAACCGCGATAACGGGCAGACGAGATGTGAATGTCTGTTAATTATTCTTGTACACTAATACAAGTTATAGTTATGTGTAAATTGTTTATTGATCACTTTATAATATAGTTTTGTTTTAATGAACGAACAAAAACGATGACTAGAAATGCACGTACGGTAAACATTTTCGTTATAAACCTTCTGTAACGTGTAGGTAACAAAAGTTCACATAAAGTGTCAGTCTGTTCTAGACCACTAAGCGTATTTTACAACTTTGAAAATTTCGCTAAAAGCGTAAACTTGTAAAAAAGATTATATTTCGTAACGAGTTCTAAGCTTGTACAGGACTCGTATTTTAAAGTGCTTCTAAAAATATAAAGTTATATTTATATAAACAATATGGTTATGAGAAAATTAGGGCACGGTTTTGACTTGGCAAGTACCAATGAGATTTTCCGAGACATATGTATTTTCTAACTGACATCACTGATAAACGGTGAAATTAATCATCGTGAGGAAATATGTATTTATAATTTCAAATTATAAGTCTGAAATCGCCAAATCGTTCTTGAGGAAGCATAGTGATTAATGCTCAAATCTTCTCCATGTGAAAACAGGCCTTTGCTCAACAGTTGGCTCTGATAGGCTGATGATGATGATGATGAGAAAATTAGTGCTAAATATTGGGGCAGATGAATATATTTTTTATATTTATAAAATCCTATATAACCTTTATTTTACCATAAAACAGTTAGTGAGTAACGTTAAACAGTCATTGAAATGACAAGCGTATAATTAAAATACTTTAAGCGAGTGCCGGCGAAGCGCGCTCCACTCGTTTAATGCTACTCTTTGAGCATTAGGTCAAATTAAAAATACGTGTGCGACGAAAACTTTGATTTTAATTAATATTATTTATTTACCAACATTTAATAAACGTTTTTTATTTTTAAGTAGAAGTAACATAGAACTGAAGACCTTGATAAGTACAAAAAAAAATAATATATTTTTCACAATTTTTCTCCTAAATGCACTTAGCTTCTATTAAAATTATTAATAACTTCGGTTGACACGAATGTAAAAATATCAGGTCTGAAAGAGGTTTACCGTTTTGTAATAATTTTCCTTTCAGAATTCAAGTTTTCATTGCGTAAGTAGTCTATTTACGTTTGTGTCAGGTGCTTCCTAAGCTTGTAATCTAATCGCTGCTAACTCAATTCAGTTTATTTAATATAAAGAAATCTAAATATATAGTTATTACTTTAAAAAGTACTGGAATACAGTGTCAAGAATACAACTTTATTTAAAGATATGGTAGTTTTTCATCAGGTATTACAAATAAAAGGTCTTACTTAGATTTCCTAAATACAAGAAATCTTCCATTTTCTTAACTTACCTTGATTAATAATATCGTTTTGCAAGAAGAAAATTTTATATATAATAGGAACGTCTTTGTATCTAATATAAAAAAATGTTTTCACAAACGAAATGAAATGGTACCGAGGATTGAATGGATCGATTTTTACAAAATACCTGATTGTACTAAAATTTGACAATATGAAATACCACTCTCATGATTTATAAGAATTTTTGATGATTTTATATTCAAAGAAAGTTAATTTAAACAAATACGTTTTAATAATTCAAGATAATTTGATAGTAATAAATATTCTTCATTTTTTTAGCAATACGTTAATTGGTGGTAGTGGAAATATAAATTAAACCAATTATCGAGACGCATTTAGGCGTACAATTAGCCCCGTTAACCTCATAGTATTCGGTAGTATATACATACTATACAGTAATGACTAACACGGGGCGACAACATTCAAACAATGATATATACAGATATAAAACCTTAACCTTTTTTGATATTTATTTCAATATCATAAAAAAAAATCAATTTAAGCTTGTTTTTCTGATTGAGCTACTAATTTTCATTATAATGCAAACATATAAATAAAAAATGGCTTTAAAAGTATATTCAATAAATTAACATGTATATTATTTTATATACAAATTATTAATTAATGTTTTCTGCTCTCATTTTCTTTAAAAGTCAATTTAAACATGATGGTATGAAAAATACACAAATATATAATCAACTTTAGCCTTTTCAGTCATTTTTACGTTTCCGTGAAGTTTTCTATTGAAAAAACTAAGTGTGTTTTATAATTTATATATTAAAATAAAAATGACTACAACTTTAATATAAGATATTATCTTCACATATACAAATTATACTAGGTTTTTCATATATGTTTTCTTGTTACTATAATGTAATTAAAATTAAATCCATATATTGCATGTTTGAGCTATATATTTGATGAATATTTTACTTAAAAATGATGCTAAAAATCTTTTATAATAGCACTAAATGAAGCATTATATTTCAGGTAGAGGAATCTGAGTTTCTTTATCGATAAAGGTCTAATATAAGGCGAGTCTCGGAGGACTCTGAAATATATTTTTAGGTTACATTTAAGCAGTTATTATTGATTATGCTTAATGAATGTAATATTTCTAATATAGAATATACATTTAACTTCTTAGGAAATATAAGAAAATGTACTTCTAATTGTTTCTTTCATAATTTCACGTGAAAACGCTTTGGGTATTAATAGATTCAGTAATGAAAGTCTTTTAGAAAGCAAATATATGTTTTAACACAAATATAAAGAAAAGTATATGAATATCATATTAAAATGACTCTTTTTTGTCTTAACATTGTGTTAATTTGTAAGTATTTTAATACAGTAATATTATTTTTCAGCTTACCTGTATAATTCAATATACCGCAAGCCTTCCGTGGTTCACCTCATCACTTATATCTCATTCACGATAAATCCGAATTATGTATTAATAAAATACACATACCACAACACAATTAGACCGCGTGGAAGAAAATTACATAACAACCAGCTAGGAATATTATTCTAGCTATAGTTTTATATATTGTTATCAATAATAATAACTTTTTTTTCATATATTTTGTGAATGTTCAAGTCGGTTTTGTTAATCTCGATGTTATATAGGTCTGGTCATGTCGAACGCGAGGCGGTGTCGTAGTGGTGGAGAGCGCAGGCGTGAACATTGCACCCCCCACAGGTACGGATTGTGATTTATTAGATTAATGTTTTATATAACAATGATAAAAGGCTTGGATTTTTTTTTACGTAATTTTGATGCTTTTTTATAGAAAAAGCATTGAAATAAGTAGACGAACATAAAGATATAAGAGCGGTATTAAAGATTGCCAAAGTGTATTTATATGTATTAGAAGATTAGGAAATAAAAGAATTAAGATTTGCAATGTTATAGATGTAAGGTGGTTTCCAAGCTGTTGAATGATTGATGCGTAAATACTTACAAAATATTTGCTTTTTAAGAATATTATCGTATCATAATGGGAAAATATGAATCGATATTTTTTTAATCCTATTAAAAGTATGATTTGTTACACGATTGGTTCAATATTAAAAAAATATATATTATTTTCAAAAAGTATATTGTAAATCCGTCCCTGCACAAAAACTACGAAGGCTGTTCTTGTTACGAGAATCGCCGACCATGTCCGAATTTGACCGAACGTCTAGCTGTCTGAAGTTGCGTTTGTTCAGCGTATTCTGACCTCTGGAGCATCCTCCCTCTTTATATAACAAAGTGGCTTCTCTAGACACCAGCGTCGTGTTGGATGCCATCTTACAATGGTGACAGTCAAGTAGAGCATGCGCTAGGAAGACATCAACGGAGAAAAGGTTACATGGTTGAAGAAGACGTTTGCTAAATAAATTATCGACAAGAATTAGTGACGTATATAATTAAATTGCTGTCTTCAACTTCCTCTACGATCCGATCTGCTCATGTTTTACAAGCTCGCTAAGTCCTTGTGATAGGTCCTTTTGAAAATATCTACTGATTCTTACTCTTACATATACATATTTACTAATTAAATTATCAAAGTAGCGCGATAGCTTAGCTGGAAAAGCAACTGGAACGCAATAGTCTGTAGGTATCAGGTTCGAATCCTGCTAGAAAAAATCAGGCTAAGAGTACGTTCGTCGTAAATTTGCACCATGTAGAACTGGGAGCGATATATATAACACCTCAAGCCAGAACCAGACGCGAGCATACGGCAAGTAGCGTACCGCGCGCCTCAAAAAGCTATTACACCACCATAGATGGGGCTCTAGGGCTGATGTCAAGCCAAGGGTTGCGGATGCAAGTGACATGATGTACCACAGCTAGACTTGAAGTAGGAAAAGGGTACGGGGGCTTTTTAGTCAGTAAGAGTCTGACACTCCTTCTTGCTCATCCAGGATAAAAGAAAGTATCGTTTGAAGATTTGCCCCAAAAAAGGCTTGTCACTGCAATTGTATTTCACGATTAATAGACCTTTAACATATGCTGAATGTTCCTACCGGTATCATATGATAAGGGACTATTTGTTAATCAATATTCTTTGTAATATTTAGAATTAAAAATTTTACATTCATATTTTATTTTCAGTTGCTTTAATACGTGTACCAATTTCGTTCCATCAGGAAAATATCAATAGAATCACTCTGAACTTTATAATCTTCCTTCCTGTATGTAGTTTCAGTTATAAATTATAATATTGTAATGTATTGTGTACTAATTTGAATTTAAAGAATAAAATTAATGAAATAATAAATTAATTATAATTCCATCAAATAAGACATGTGTACATATTACTTCACTATTGCTTATGATAAAGAAAAGATTTATTTAGAGTGATAATATTTTTCTATCACTTGGCAATTATAAAACAACTTGTCATATTTGTAACGTACGCGCAACATATTAAAAAATAAATGAACATCGCCGGGGCAACATCGTTGTATGGATAAAATATATAACGAGTGACGCCGCTGACTCTGCGGAACGAACGCCAAGCCGTGTGAACCAGAAGATTCCTGATACCACACAAGCTATAGAATGGTATTGCTATCCTAACATCGAGACAATCATGTAGTCTTAGATATAGGTTATAAGTATTAATATGTAATTCTTATTATAATATACATATAAGTAAGTTTCCTAGTTTTTTGGAACTGGAATTAAATTTATTAATAAAAATATTTCTTAAAAATGTTTATTTACTTTTATCATCTTATTTTCTATTCTTAACGTATTTTGAAGGAAATTATAACTTTATTATACTCTAGCACTGTACTTGTGACATTTCATGGTTACCGAATGCATTTCTCCCGTCTGCTGGAAGATCTGGAAATTTAAATAAATAGTATTTATTAATGTTAACAATACACTTAAATGCATTAACATGTCAAAATATCAGTACTCTATTAGATGTACTATGTACTACGTTCAGACCTAACTGTTTCTTACTTTTAACAGAACTCGCCTTGAAATTATATAGTAGTTAGAAATGAGCAAAGAATATTGCAAATACATTGTAAAAGAAATATGGAATATAATTTAAAACATTATTAATACTAAAATTGATGCATGGTCTAATTTCGGGTGGATTTTATGATGGCTCCTATCATCAATATTAAAAGATTTTAATTGATTAGTGTGTAAGATGAAAGTCAGGTATTTTTCGTTTAACACGTAAATATACTCACCATATTTCCCGGATTGCAAATAATCAAGTAATGCCTTCTTCCCGTAAATGAATATCGCTACTGATGTTGCCAACGCTGTAGCAGTGCATGCCGCTATTAACAACGCATTGTTATTGCTTGCAACTTCATCTTTATAGAATTTATCAGAAGTCTCATTTAAGATGTCATCTACTTTTATTTCGAAATCGAATTCTAAATCTGTGCTATTTAATTTGTCAAATCCATATAACAATCCTTCGCTGTAATCATATGTCATTATTTTTATTTAAACAATAATGTATATAAATGTTACTTTATTATGTAAACTAATAAACTTACATTTCTTCCATATCTATGTATATATAACGTATTTCATCCAAGTTCAAAGAGCTCCATTCATTAGTCACTAACGAGTTATTCGAGGCTAAAAGGGGATTGATCTGTAAAGATTGAGATTTAACTTTCAATTGAGTTTAAATTAATGTTTTAAAATGTATTTAAATTCCCTATTATTAAAGTTTCAAAGCACTTTTTTATGTCATTTAGTGAAAGAAGATAAAAAATATTTGTTACATTAAATAAAATAGAAAATTACACATATTTTCACACATATAAATATATATTTTAAAACCGTTTCTAATATAACTTACCATAACCAACCACACACAAAGTATAAACATTTTATAATGATTTTAATATTTTTATATATGTTCGTCAGCGTTGGAATACAGTTACTAATAATATTCATGCATTACAAACTTATTATTTTCCTGTTCATATATACATAAATAGTTTTATCTTTTTATAAAGACATTTATATATTTAAATGAAGTTTTATTCTCTCTTTATGTGAGAGCATATTTTTAACTAATGGATAACGCAATTGTATACTTAATTAAGGATAGTAGGAGGTATCTTGTATTTGTCATTACAATAATATAGTATTTATTTTAACCACGATTTACTTAAGACCTCCATTATATCATTAGTATTTTATATTTGCCATTACTCATATAATATACAAAGTATTGTTTAAATATAATCAATTAAAACCAATCATATGACGAAACAAAGTATACACAGTGTAGAGACATGTAATTAACTAATGACTTTGAAACTTGTACATTACTTTTTGTAGGAATTGTGAGGAAGATGACGTAGCTGACTTAAGTAACTTTTTAATAGTCATTTTATGTTTAATTAAAGAAAATTTGAACATAAACATATATATAAGTTTCTAATATTATGTTTTTAGAAGGGTTCAGAACCTAAATACTGTGCAGTTGCAAAAATTTCTTTATTTTCATAATAAAGGTAAACTTTCGATGTTTTTAAAAGCATTTTTGTTTTGTGTCAATGTACAATGTAAATTAGTTTAAGGTAAGATAATATTATTTATTTATTTTTCATTTTAAAGGATGAGAGGAGAATTTTTAGGGATGTTCACTTAAAAATACCATGAAAATAATGATAAAAAATAATATTAAGAACCCTTGTTTGAATACGAAATAAATAATAGGTAATTTAATTGTAGTAAAAAATAAGAACTAGGTTTAAATTTATGATAGTATCACTCACTTAGTCTTCCTATTGCAATATCTTTTAACCAAACTTTTATAATAAAGACGTAAAATATACGAAAGAGAGGGCTTTAACAATGATTAAGATGGAAGTATGATGTGAAGCAGGTCTATGTATGTATATTAAAAGCTTTTACAAAATCCAAAGGATGGGCAAGAATACTTTTGAATGTTGATATGACAGACATTGAACTATTTAGACTAGCAAATCGTGAACAGAAAAAAATTCAGGAAACGCTTTAAATGAACTGTTTTCAGTAATAGTTTTGAAGAAATTCTTCATTAATAATTTGATAACTCTTAAAAATACTTTAAATGTGTTAAAAATATGATATAACAATTAATGGGATAAAAAAATCTTTAATGTATATCCTGCTGGCAGTAATATTGGGCCTACTTTATTATTCTTAGAACATAATATCATGGTTATTGATAGATGGAAACCAGAATATAATGTTCAAAAATATAAAGCTGGATATATAAATAGAAGTTTAGAATAAATATTATGTGACTCGCAGAAAATCCCAAAAAGATTAGAGAAATCTAGTCCGGAATAGACTTATCAGTAGCACTGAGATCCACATAGTAGGAATATACTTATAATATATACAGCAGATGTGACCCTTATGGAATATGTAATTAGTACTATAGTTCTGTGTAGTATTTTTAAATGTTTTATCATTATGCGTACCGTCGCATCCGCAGCACTACACAATGGGTGTCATTGATCCCAAATTGACGAAGTAATTTTTTTCTATAAATTAACATAAATTATGTCTGTTTGTCACTAAAATAATTTATTGAAATTATTTCTTGTACTATCAAATTCTTATAACAATTAAATTAAGGTAGAAAAATATGGTCTCAATGGCCAAGTTTACGTGTTAGCGGTAGGTCTTACGTATTGGATAATTATTAATTTCTAACTACACATGCCTCATTTTCTCATTTTTTTTAAATTTTCATACGTCATCCGAATGGAATATTAAAATAGTATACAATCTTTACACATATACTTAATAGTAGCTTACAATCGTATAATATTTTTAGTACCTATTTGTTAGATCCAGCTTTATATGTTTATTATAGTAAGTCAATCAGTATATTCTTTTTAGTAAAATAAGCATTCTTTACAGTAATAAAAATAAAAATTAAAACTATACGAAAAATATAATTTCTTTACGAACAAACACAGGATACATCATTAGATATTATAGCTAAAAAAAGGTTTAATTTTTTTTATTTTTTACGATTGAAACTATGATATCTCTTTGGGTCATTGTAAATCTGTTTTTATTATATTATTTAAAACTAGATCTTATTTTATTCATCTAAGGACCATTTTCGCATCAACGATCCTTTAAGGGATACAGTGACATGTCGTGCATTGCTAAGTGAGAGTTCATATTGTTTTCGAACCGAACAGAAATGGTAGTGTAAAATCAAAAGGAAAAAAAAATATCCCTTTAAAAATATTTTTTTAATATAAATTGTGATATTTTTAAATAGTGGTGTTGTATAATTATATAAAAATGCGTTTCATTATTTTCATATTCATAGTGTTTTGTTCCGCGAGTGTCTTTGAAGCTTTGAAAGCTAATGATCCTGGCGTATGCGTTGTTTCACGAAGGTTATATTAGTAAAACTTTATTTTTTTTTGTTCTTTCTGATATTTATTAAAATATATTTAAATTAATCTCGATTTATTTATTTCCAATTAATTATCAAAAAAGAAAATTGTTTTAAATATGTAGATCAGAAATACGAACGAATTTTAATACCTAACGAAAAATAAATTATTGTGTTTTTGTTGAATAATAATATTTTGAGGAATAAATTCTTTAATATTTTATTTATGTGGGAAATTATCAGTTATTTAATAATGTTTTTCTCACAGTGTACGCAAAACTAGACTCAAGTATTACAAAGTGAGAGGCATGTGCAAAGGGAAGAGGTGCATTATTAAGAAGAGCAAAGTTGAGGTACATTTATAGTATTTACAATTGATCTACTAAAGATTATTATAAAGTAATATATGTTCAACTCATTTTTAGGTTGCTCCATTTTGTCACGATTCGTCGTTTGCTTTGGTATATTATTTACTATCTCATATATTTACAGAGCTATAAAGCAAATCAAAACGAAAGTGTATGCTGCACTGGTTGGGCCTACTCCGCCGTACTTGACGCCTGTTCTCCAACCTGCAGTATGGGTTGTATTGGAGGTCGATGTGTTTCTCCAGAGGTCTGCCATTGTGATCCTCCTGCCACATTGCATCCACTGCACAACAATATATGCATCACCTGCGACCCTCCATGCGAAAACTCGAAATGCGTTAACAACACCTGCATCTGTTTTGATGGTTATCAGAAAATAAATAACACTTGCCAACCGGTTTGTGACTCCTGTGTTCACGGATCGTGTGTGGCTCCGAACAGTTGTCAATGTCTTCCAGGCTATGGTGGTGAGAATTGCGAGCCTTTATGTGATATTTGTGTTAATGGTGTTTGCGTTGAACCAAACGTGTGCTCGTGTATGGAGGGATATCTAAGAAATGCTAGCGGCTGTTATAAACCTTGCCCGAAGGACTGCAAGACTTGTAATAGTCAAGGCGAGTGTCAGGACGGGGTTTGCGACGGGTGAGTTTTCTTACTGTACATTATATATTGTATATTATGTTAATGTCGATAATAATTTACGATATATTCTATAACATAAGCTTGTTTGAAAGTAACGTTCAATAACTAGCCAAATAGTAAATTGTTTATAGTAAAGAACAATATCTCTATTCGCATCATTTATAAATTATAAAGATACTTCGCGGCTCTAATATAATTATTCTAATAGACAGTATATATTTTCATAGAGTTCATAAAGTAAAGTAAACTACGATGGTGTGATTTTAATCATATAAAATAAAAAATAGAACAATTTAACTCTATAAATGACGATAATTTAAGAATGTACCCTGGAAAACAAAGCCTAAACAATACTGACATTCAATAATAGTAGAATAGAAATTTTAAATTATGATACAATTTTAATTTCTCTATCAAATAACACACGTAAAACTGTTAAGGTTACAAAATGGGTATGACAAGCAATTATAAAGTATTTCATGGCCGCTACTACTTTTGGTTCGTTAAAAATTTAAAGCTGAATGAGCATCACATATGAGCTTGTAAAAACCAATTCGAACTCCACGCTTTAAACATATAACGGCTTTTATATGTACCTCTTTTATTTAATTAGAGAATAAACCTTGATAATTTTTTGTTCAGCGCCATCTATTATGTTTATTCGGAACTAATATATTTTAATATCCAGATTGTTTTGTAAAAAGATTTAATGTTTGTGATACTTGTTTTACAAAATTATGATAACAAATAATAAATTTATTATCCTCATATGTTTCAACAGCGACAATGGGAGGGCTCATATCGTTACAGGATGTTTATACGAGCTCGTAATCGATGCAAAAGCAATAGGCATTGACGCAAACGATGCTTTGAATGATCGATGCGTTACTTGACCTAGGGCTGAGATGCACTGCTTTCACTATATTTAAACTTATTACCACAAATGCTTATCAATTTAATACATTATACATAATATATTCTATATCACTATAATGATGGCAATTATTGAAACAAATTGTATCTATTCTCTTTTTTATATGTAAGTACAGCTTATTTCAACTATGGGATAGCTTTTATCGGTTTCATGATTCCACTTGGACCAATTTAGCGTCCCATTTACAGACACAGATAAAAGTTCTACAATATTTTTTTGGTGATATTTTTGGACACAGATATTTTTTTAGTATATTAGATCTTTTTTAGTGTGGAAGTTGTAATTTAATTAATTATACTTCCTTGTTGATATTGTCAGTGTCACTGATGCAAGAAATCTTGTAGACTATTCTTTTAAATATCTTACAAATTTTCCTGGAAATATGGCCAGTTTTACTTTGTTCCTAGTCGGACTATAACAAATGACGTTTTCATAAACTATTTGGTCCTAGATTTTTTACTTATTAGCATTAATTAAAGTCCAGTTTTGTCAATCCTGTTGGATTTGAGAATTTTTTTGTAATTTATTATAATAAGTTATGTTTATTATTTATTATTATTGTTATTCTTTGCTAGTTATTGTCTTCTTATGACATTGAATGACGCCATGTAATCATGTGAAAAAAATAGTACTCCATACAAATTTAGTCCTAGGTATATATGTATATAAAATGCTATGTCTAGTTTCTTCCTACTTGTTCAAATATAAATAATTACAACAATACTATTAATTCTAAACACAATAAAGTCCTTTTTCTGGAAGAACAAATTATAAACAAGCTTGTCTTGTGCTTAGTTGTTATAAAAAATAATATTAATGTGTTGTAAGTGGTAACCCTGTATTCATAATGCACGCATTGACATGTAGGTGGCAACATCGACTGTGTGAATCAGAAGGAATAAGACGCTCTGCCTTGTTTGAAGGATGGCGCCGGGACATTATAAAACACACATTTATAGCCAATTAGGACGACAGTAGAATTGAGTATACTAAAATCATTGATGGAAAAATATTATGTGCTTATTTAGAATGCCGAATAAATAGGAAACCGAGACATTTTTAAGGTGTTTCATAAATTCTTGTGCGTACATTAATAAATATTTGTAGATATAAACATTTCTATTAGTTTTTAAAAGGAGATGCATAGATTTCTTCTAGATTATCCAAAACCTTAGATTTATGAATATATATTTTTTAATGAGGAGAATAAGACAGGGTTTTTAAGACTAAAACAGAAAATTAAATAGTTAATAATCGTCATTGGCAATTTTTTAGATTAGGAAATTATTAAAAAAAAAGTGTTACTAGTAACATTTGTAGAGCAAGAATCTTTAGAATAATCCTTAATATATTGTTAAATAATTGCACATTAACAATATTATAAAAAAAATAATAATAACAGCTGTTTGAATACTTTTATATAAATTATATACAGGATATACATATCAGTTATTTAAATTTTTAATTGACATAATACATATAATATGGTCAAAGAATGTCAAAGATTAAAAATATTTGACGATAAAAAATATAACATTTCATAATATTTTAACAAAATCATGAACATTTTAAACGTCAATTACAAGACAACTTGATTGTTCTGTTGAATTATTCATAGTGATGTTTGAATTCAAGGATTTGAATGATTTTGAGTTAATTGTAATTTTGTTTTGTTTTAATGTGGCATTATATGTTTTTTTTAAATACTGAATCTATTCTTGATAGGTGTAGGACTAAGGTTGATGAAATAATGTAGTACATCTTTTATATTACAATAACAAATAAATTAAATCACATATAGATGACGTTTATTCAAGTTATTATATAGCGGTCATTGAGTAAATCGAAAATACTTGTCTTTTAAAAGTTAGTTGACGTGTGGTGTCTATCTTAGACTAATGTGTCTTGATGATGTCCTCTTTGAGTTCTAACTAATGATTACTTATAGCCTATCTATTTTTATCTTAATAAAAAAATATGATTTTTCTATATATTTAATAAACCTTATATTGGATGATCGAGAGAAGCAGTGGGTAATAAATAGTGTTGTAACAATAAATACATATATACAGGGTGACTGGTGAATTACTATCAATATTTAAGGAGAATACTCGGTACATGATTCTCATTCGAATTATGTTAAAAAAATAGACCGTACTTAATTTTTGACCAAATTTCCGTATAAATAAATAAAGTGTGGATACGTTCCAAGTGTTCCAAGTGTGGACGCGTGCAGCGGCGTGCTGATACAACACCACGCCGCCGACGTGTGTGTGTGTGTGTGTGTGTGTATATACCTAATCCGTAGGGTGTTCACACGACGCGTAATTAATTACATAACTTTTGGTTAACTTTACTTAGAAGTTTATAAATATTTATGGTATATTAATTTTTATTTTGTCATATATGATCGTCAAATATTACGTCCTCAAGTATCGATAGTAATTCACCAGTCACCCTGTATATACTTCATGTCGACGTATTCCTAACTAATTAATTTTATCAATATGTTGCAGGATAGCTTTGACGTAATTATTATGCAAAACACAGCAAAACTTCATATTTTGCAACAACAGGGAATAAATAATAATAGAAGAACTGTTTATCGAATGGAAACTTTGTGCAAACTAACCACATCATTTCTAGCGCATGATAAATGTGTACATTGTTTTATCTACAAATAGTTATTTTTATACATAAATATGTAGATATAAAATAAAAAAGGAATAAAGGGAATATTCATATTGAGTTATAATTAAAATCTTTTCATAATTAACGTTCTGTTTGCTTGTTTTCATACAATTTCTTAACTTATTAGAGATTACGAAAATTCTTTTGCTATGCAGCGTCTTTTCTTACGTATATGTCCTTTTACCTTTTTGGCACTCAAAGAAAGAATGAGATCTGAGACAAGATAATCTTCAAAACAGACTTTGACGACACAACAAGATGTCATGATTTTTAAAATCTAAAAACATTTTTTAAATTTATGTTTTTACAATAAAACAATGTTGAATTTGTACTTCAATTGAGACCTTAATTGGAAAATATAAGTCACAAAATTCATTGACATATCCAGCATTGATCTGTAACCTCTGGAATATTCAGGAGGTTGCAGGTTTAAATCCAGCTCGTCTGCATGAATTCTTAATTCTATATTTTGTAAATAACATTTCAACGCAATACATTTATTTATTTATTATTTTATAACGCCGAGCCGCACTTTGCTCTCTTTGATTCTAAAAGTTAATAGAAAAACTGGAATAGGTGATTGAATAATAATTGAATATTCTATTAAAAGTCTCGAACAGATATTTGAAAATTATTTAGGAGCGTATTTTGTATGAACAGTCTAAAGTTTCACTGTTTCATAAACAAAAATAAAACATCATTGTAGTCAGTTAAATATAATCCCCTTAATAAGGGTTGTTAAGGATAATAATAGGCATTTGTGAATTTTTAACATTGTACTCGTATGTGTTTTTTGTACTCCCTAAGGCTAAATGGTCAAGCAAAGCAATGTTTTACACATTGCAGTGATGCTTTAAATTGGTTTTATTTGAACCAAAATTTTCAAACTCTCAAGCTCGTCAGCTCTCATTTAATGGAATATTAAGCAACTTTTTTATTATTATTATGTTGAATGTTGAAGTTGGTAACTTTAAACGATTATTATTTTAGGTTGAAAGTTGCGAATTCCAAGTTATGATAGATTTTAAACATATTCATACAATATATGGAAACGGTTCTAGGAGCATTTTATGTTAGCATCCGTCCAGTTATCTCAATATTATTATCAAAGGTCCATTGTTATCTACACCCAACGAATAATCAGCTTTAAATTAGTACATATAAAGTCAAATTTAAAATGATAACATTTCAGATGTAATCACCTTTTTGATTGTAGCGAAATCATTAAAAAATATATCTTCATATATTTGTTACAATGTTTAATTTGATTATTGTATGAAGCTGTTGTCTTATAAGCTTCGTTAAAATCATTAAGTGTAGTAAGCAAAGCTGATAGGATTGTCAGTACAACTATTTAGACGCGATACTTTTCTGTATTGTACATAAATCATTACTGAAATATATTAAACAAGATTATAAGTCTAGATTTATATCAAATAGATGAATCACTTACTTAAGTGAGAACTCAGAGAAAACTTACGTGTTTACAAAGCTTTGAATACTTATTATTGATTATGAAGTCATTTATTTAATATTATAAATAAAAGGCTGCTGTATTAGAAACTTAAACCTGTTTCAAATATTCTAATAATTTTATCATAAATGAAAAGAAATATCTTAAAAAAATACATATTTATATAGATCTGACATCGATGAAAAACCTTTAGAACAAAGTTTACAAGCGCATATGAAAACAGAAAAGTGTACCACAGTATTACTTAATCATTAAAACTTAAAATATTCGCTTATTTAATACACAACAACAACAAAGAGTTATATAAAAAAGTGTTGTTTATTTAATTTTTAAAGGTAAATATATTATATTATATTAATTAATGTATAACTACAGACAGACTAATCACAGTCAATTAGCCTAATAAACGATATTAAAATGTAATTTGTATATAACTTAAATGTTCAACAAAGAAACAATTCATTGGGTACAGAACTAATACCGGCAGTTACATAATGAAGTTATTAATTAAGTGGCTTTAAAGTAAAGCTTTGTCCGATAATTGTTAAAATGTTGTATACAATGAGTCAATTATTTATAATGAGCCCAGATAAAGATTAACTCTACATCATAATACATACAGGTTGAATAATAAATGGCATATATTTTTACTGTTATGTACTTTTCTGACCTTGGTTTATTTCATTAATCTTTTCTCTTACATGTATTAACATACATATATATACATATTCATGCGTATAATTAATTTAGTAAAGTCAGTGGTGGCCTAGTGGTTAAAACCTGGCAAGTACCAATGTGATTTTTCGGAGTCATATGTAATTATGAGAGTATTTAGACACCACTGACACACGGTGAAGGAAAACATCGTGAGGAAACCTGGACTTATAATTTCACAATTATAAGATTGAAATCACCAAACCGTCTTGAGCAAGCGTGGTGCTTAATGCTCAAACCTTCTCCATGTGAGAAAGAGGCATTTGCTCAGCAGTGGGCTTTCAGTGGCGGGGCAAGACCTAAATTTGTGTGGGCAAAACAGATTTCGCGAGGCCCTATTCTATGGCAACCTGAAGCTCTTACTACCAGCTAGTTTTAAAAACTTAATCGTCGATACGATTTTTACCCTTAAAGCTTTGGTTTCCTTTAAAACACAGTATAAAGCGTATTTTATATACTAGTAATTATTGCGTTACATACTTATTACCAATTAAATATTTGTTACTTAATGAAATAAATACGACTACAGGTACCGGTGTATTACAAATCACAAAGAAAACAAAAACAATTAAAAAACGTCACTGTTTTCGGGGCAATCAATATACTTAAACACTATCTATTTATTCGCTAAATATTATTAAAACATTGACCACACTATTCTTATCAAAATTGGTAAGTACAGTCATAAAAATAGACAATATTGATAACACAATTATACTATTATTATTAAACGTATATATGTACATACGTTTTTTTTGGTATGCGCGTAACGCCAGGGGTAAAACCAGGGTAAAACCCGCATTCTGGTAGGCGGCAAATGTTGCCAGTCTAAGAATATCATTATCAACAAAATTGATTTATTTATATATTTTTTTCTCGCTTTAAAAATTTTTTGAGGCGCGAGGCCCCTTGTACCGCGAGTCTGTAGGCGGTGGCCCACGTCACCCACGCCTTACGCCGCCACTGTGGGCTTTGATAGGATGATGACAATGAGAATTTAAGTAATTTATGAGCGAAACTGTGTATAAATCAAAGAGTATTAAGTGCTTTGATTTAATTAGGTATAAAAGATATATTGATTAGTCAATATTAGTACCTAGATAAAAGATAATATGTATTAAATATTATCTTTTATCTTTTTTTACAAAATATTTTATATGATACCTAGTTCGATAAAATTCGGGTATCGATATGGGTCGTATGTTTTGATTGTAGTTTTAGTGGTCACTGCTGACGTGAATATTAAATTCCAAAGCAATTAAACTCATTCCATTAAAACAACGCGGACTGAATATTGATATACATTTATATGTGATAAATTAATCATGATTTTGCGAATATTTGACACACATGCAAAAAAAGATAAAATAATTACGGTAATCATTTTTATCTATAGTTTTGGAGATACTTTGAAATTATTCGCGAAATTTTGTTATAACTAATATTTTACAGTTATTGCAATTCTAAGGTAAAGTTATATTTAGTATCCTGACAATGTACGCGGGTCATCGTGGCGGTGTATCTATAAGTTAGCCGGATGTCTATAAACATGCCGCCGTTATGCAAAATGTCATTGTTCTGACTATCTCCAATAAGGATTAAAGTGAATATATATATGATATATATATAAATATATGACATAGAGAACTCTAGATACTTCTTTGACCCCAAGATTCCCGTAAATTTCCTATATTCCTGGAATTGTGTTATGTGAATTTATAAATAATAAAAATAAAACAGACTTCTGAACATTACAAATTGAGATTTGTGTACTGCTTATTTATTTTATCCTATTTTGCTTACTTATAATAGAAAATAAATACTAGAGTATGTCTTCGCAAATAAATATATAATTATATTATAGAAGGCAATATATAAATAGGAGACCAATTCTAAATTAATTGAAGCTATTAAATTATTATCTCTAAACAATTAATTATTCCACGACGATTTGATAAACTGTATAGAATAATAATTCATCAATAGTTTTTAAATCACCACACCAATACAGAAGCATGTGCGAAATTATATTTAACGAGCAATAATCCGCTTTTAATTATTCAACACGCGCACGTCCTGTATATGAGACGTATTTTTTATTTGGGGTAGTTGTACAATGTACATGTAATACGTAGTTGTATCCTAACATCGGGAAACATCGGCCGTGTATTTTGTTATATTTATAATTGTGTGGGAAAACTGTATCGCAGAAGGTTGAGATAACGTATCCTGGCTTACTGTTCGGTTCAACACAAAATGGAGTTTCGATTTAGTGTTGCTTTATTATTTTTGCCTATGTTATGTAATTGTTTGATTAGTGACAGTGATAGGAGAAAGGAATGCAAAGTTCGGTGAGTTAGATATCTTGTTTGTTTTTGAAGAGAAATTTAATGGTTTATTTTTTGCATGACATTTTGTAAATTTATCTGAGCTGTGATAATGACGTGTTTTTGTATAGTTTAATATCTTAATACCATAATGTTCGTTCAGCTTTAATTTCTTTTAATATTATTGTATTTTGTTTATTTGTTTACATACAAACACGCTTATAATATGAAAATAGTTTTTTATACCGATCTCTAGCGAAAAGTAAATCTTTACATTGGAGTATTTAGCTCTATAAATACTTACTCACTTATCCATTTTTTATGGGTATTAAAAGACCTTATTATATTATTACAAAAAACCGTTAATTTTAAATTTATAGCATTTGTTTTATAACCATATTGAAGTCTGTGCCACAAGTTTCAAACTAAACTTTATATGTTAATGAATAAAGAGGCTTGGTATTGATAAAAGTTTATACAAATTAATCTGTTGTCCTCCTAACTATGTATTTCATAGAGCTTTTTAAACGATTTGAGCAATGAGAGTTGTAGTCAAAGATTGCAACTGAGCTCACCAGAACGAAGTAGCTTTTAAAAGAGCATTATTTCGTTTGATTATAGAAAGGATCTAGTAGCAACCTACTAAACATGATGATTCCTAACTGGGTTCTATAAATAAACAGAAAGACCTGTTTTCTTACAAAATGTTTAGAATATAAACAAATCAATTTCGAAATATAATATGAACAGGAGTACTTAAATTATATTTTTCTTCTCTATTGAATTAATTTAGATAGTTCATTGTAGTTTCTCTACAATACTTTGATTTTTGATACTTTTTCAATCAAATTATAATAATACTTTTGACTATTATTGTTTTTATGTGGATATACATATATGTATGTCACATAGCTAAAATCCATTTCAAGTTCTTTTTTTAGTAGCAATAAAATAGTTTTAGTGATAAAAATATTTTGTCTGTTTCAGATTCTCGATCAAGGTAAGTAAGGAAGTGATCTATTTATCTGAAGACTTTTCTAACTACCTATAAAACATGGAAAAAGCTTATAACAGGATATTATAGCTGATCTTTCATAGTTGTTTATTGTGTATATTATTTACTACGTCATATTTACAATTCAATTAGTAGTTATGTATAAGTTTATTTATGTACAGGTTGTATCTCATTATAGCTGGTCAACAATTAGTTGAAAACAAACTTTAACATATAAGACATATGTACTTTATGTCGTTGATGTCATCATATATATATTTTTAAATAGAATATAAAAAAAAGTTTTGTGAAATACGAGAGTTCAATGAAAAACAATAGGCTTTGTTAACTTTGATTTAATAAGCTTATTACAAGTATATTTTTTTTATTATTGTTATTATATTTATTTCATGAAAATAATATGGAAATTTGTTACGTTACAGGGAAAAATTTTAGAAAGATGCTGTGATGGCTGGGAGTATGACAATCGAATGCGTCGCTGCAAGCCTTCCTGTCTCAGCGGTTGTGGGGACGGCGAATGTGTTGAACCGAACAGATGTGAATGTAAAGCACCACTTGTACTAAACAGCAGTAAAAAATGCGTCAATCCAAAACCACACTGTGACTTGCCTTGCACGAATGGTACCTGCACAGCGAACAATGTATGTACATGCCATGCTGGTTATACACAGAAAGACACGTACACTTGTGTACCAAAGTGTGAACAGCCCTGTATAAACGGTGTCTGCGTTGAACCTGACACTTGCCAATGTTTGGATGGGTTTGAATCTCAAGGAAAATGGAAATGTGATCCGATATGTAATGATTGTATACATGGTAAATGTGTCGCACCGAACACATGCCATTGTGATAGTGGATACACTAAAGTGAACGGCAAATGCTTACCAGTATGTGACAGCGAATGCCAAAATGGATTTTGTTCGGGACCAAATAAATGCGAATGTAATTTGGGATATGAGATAGATCCTTTAGACAGATTCACTTGCCGCCCGGTCTGTAATCCGGCTTGCGTGAATGCTTCGTGTGTGTTCCCAGGCACATGTTCCTGTTACCCAGGATATGAATCACTTACTGCAAATATCTGTAAGCCAAAATGTGATGACTGTTTGAATGGAGATTGCATTGGACCGAACGAATGTCGTTGTCACGAAGGTTATGAATTGATCGGGACAAAATGCAGGCCTGTGTGTAGTCAGATATGTGTGAATGGATTTTGTTCAGCACCAGATACCTGTAGCTGCAATAATGGTTACGAATTGGATGCTAGCGATAAGTTTAGTTGCAATCCAATTTGTAAAGAAAAATGTGTTAATGGAACGTGTGTAAGTCCTGATGTATGTCAATGCCTTGAAGGCTACGAAAAAACTAGCAACGAAAATTCTTGTAAACCGAAATGTGCAAATTGTGAACATGGGCTTTGCATACGTCCTGGTGTTTGTTCGTGCGATGACGGCTATGTTTTATATAGTAAACAATGTGTCCCCGTTTGCTCAAGTTTGTGTATAAATGGGTATTGTAAATCACCAAATGAATGTGGTTGTCACGAAGGTTATATTAGAAATTCTTCGGATCCCTCTATGTGTTATAAGCCTTGTTCTGGCCCATGCAACAATGGCATTTGTAACAGACACGGAAACTGCATTTGTGATCCCGGCTACAAGTTAGATGAAAATGAATCATGCGTCGCCATACCAATGTGAGTTGATATTAAATTTATACATATTATCACTATGTTATTTAAAAGATATTAAATATCATTGTTAGAGACAATCGTTCTTTAAGAATTAGTCGATGTTATCTATTATAGTAATAGTAAAATGTGTGTCTAATTTTATATTCATTTGAGTTAAAATTACAGAGTCCATTGTGAGAACTGTAATGGTACTTGTGGAGATGATGGTGACTGTAAGTGTTGGGATGGTAACACGTGTTCCAATGTCACCCTTATCGAGCCAGCAAGTGTGAAGTCAGCTGAAGGGTAAGCATTACTTTCTTACTAACACCAAAACATGGATGACAAACATATACAATGTGTAGCTAAATGTTTTTACATTTATGTATGTGCCTTTTTATCTGAGGACATTAAATTCATTATGATGATTCATTAACAGGAAATGGACTAACGATTACGTAAAAAAATATTGAATCCTACAAGAGAATAATAATTTTTTGTGCTTCAGTTATCTTAATTTTTTAAATTAAACTCGTACATTCATGTCAAAATGTAATCTTGGTTAATTATTGGATTTTTTGTAATCTATTTATGACGTGATGTAATATTGACAATAAAATATGCGAAAGTAGATTTTGTAATAATAAAAATATTAATATTGTTTATTCAGGTTAGCGGGTTTACAATTAACGTGGCTGCTGGGAGGTTGTGTAAGTTTCCTTCTTCTCGTTCTGGTAATCGGGGTCATCGTACAAATGTGGAGGAAGAGACAAGAATTCGTCACGAAATCCGTTGATGGCGGTAATGTTTCGCTTTTAATTACGTGCCCTTTCCCTCTCCCCACCTTTTACTGTGGTTCCTTATTCCCACCTTTTCCTGTGCTTAAAAAACCAAGGTCTACAACTTATCCGCAACAGAGATATTACGTATGTCTATGGGCGACGGTGACTACTGTCTACCGAGTAGGCCGTCTGCTCGTTTGCCACCTTTTCCATTAAAAAAAACACATATTATAATAATGATTTATCATGTAGATTTAATTCTAAATGTTTTATTTATCTTTGTAGTAGGAGGTAACCAGTACGGCAGTGTCGTTTACACGGTCCCAGATACTCTTATGAAACGAAATATTAGCGAAGAAGCCTATAGCGATAATGATGATGTTGAGGAAGTAACAGCCCAGGATAAACTCGAAGCGGCAGAACGTCTTCTGGCGAGCCAAATAGTTTTCGAACATGATAAAATTTAGTTCATATATGTAGAACAGAGTATGTTTTAATGCGGTATTACTAAGTTATACTTATGTACGTGATCTTGAGAATGATTAGCGTTGAATACTCTTTAGTTGTATATCAAATGTGAATAGATTATAACGAATTGTGAATGCCAAATATTTTTATTAAGTAATTAGTTTTCTATAATTGTTGATCAATTATTTAAAACTTTATAATCTTTAGAATATCGTTTACTGATAAGATCAAGATTAAAATAAGCAAATAAGTGTACATTGAATATAGAAATAGTAATTATCTGTTTCTATATAAATATCTGTCAAGTATGTAAGTCTCATAGCTAGTTAATTTGAAATATTTTAATTTATTGGTGCTTGAAATTTTTTATTGTAGTATAGTTGTTGCATTTTAATATGAAATGTATCTTTGAATAAAATACGTAGTACAAACATGTTGTTACAAATACTTTAGTAACAATAAAAAAACGAACTAATTATTGAACTAAAATCCTTCATTAATAACTTTATTGAAATTGAAATGTTTTGTACTTATATAAATACACTCATTATAAAACTGATTTGTTTGTTTCCTTGTGTTTGAAAGTTCGGCTCATGTTAACGCAAGTTAAAATCATAATAATACCTAATGAATTATGTAGGTATTGTTTAAATAAATACGTAGTACGTATTAGTGTAGTATTATTTTGACATCTTGATGTTTACAATAATAAAGAAATAAAAAGGAATCGGTTGACTCCTTAATTTGTCGTATGCAATGCAAATTTTTGACTAACATGTTTTTCTTATGCCTGCCATTGTCAGAACTGGGCCAAATTAAAATGGAATCAAACGGGACGCATCAGCTTTCTAGTTCCAAAGTTAAGAGGTAACAAACATTAATAAATAAAGACAAAGTGATAACCTTGTCTTCTTTTGAATTCGGTTGAAAAGCAATTAGTTCTGCCTATTGGGGAAGGTAGGACATTACTTCGTTTTGCGTACAATTTAACAAGGTTTTAAAACGTTTTGCCACTCTAATAAAATACATGTAGCGCGTGGCCTTGTACAGAATTCTCATGTAGAAATTTTGCTTTTGGTTAGAAAAGATAGAAGAGAGGAAATATTTCCAGGTACTTTATTATCCCAGAATATTTGAACTCAATGTTTGCCATTCTTATAAGTATACTCGCTGCAGTTTGACTACTTTAGAAACGATAAAGAAGAGTTAATTCAGTTAATTCATTTAAAATGTGCAATGAAATATTATCTATATCATTATTATGTGCAACCTGCAACTAAAAACATAACTAATCTTCTATATATGTATATATAAAAATGGATTGCTGTTCCTTAGTCTCGCTAAAACTCGAGAACAGCTGCACGGATTTATCTTATCGTAGTCTTGAAATGTTCGTGGTGGTTCAGGGAAGGTTTAAAAGGTGAGAAAAATTGATTCATTACTGGGAAAACCCTAAAAACAACCCTTTTCTATTTCCCATACAAATGTTTTCTTTGACATTAGATCTGACAACTAACTAATATGTCAATCATTCTGTTCGATTGAAACAGGAAAAACCTGATTATTTATGGCCTCTAGGACGGAATAGAGTTCGCCCGGTCAGCTATACATATATTACTAATGATGAAATTAATGCAGACGAAGTCGCGGGCAAAAACTAGTCTATATATATAAAAATGGATTGCTGTTCGTTAGTCTCGCTAAAACTCGAGAACGACTGAACGGATTTATCTTATCTTAGTCTTGAAATATTCGTGGAGGTTCAGGGAAGGTATAAAAGCTGAAAAAAATTGATTCATTACTGGGAAAACCCTAAAACCAGCCCTTTTCTATTTCCCATACAAACGGCTTTTTTGACATTAGATTTGACAACTACCTAATATGTCAGTCATTCAAGTGAGCGAGACATTTTCTCAATTTGAGAAAAAATCTTTAAGGAGGAATAGAGTTCACTCAGTCAGATATACATTTCTAATTCTGAAACTAACGCAAACGAAGTCGCGGGCAAAAACTAGTAATATATGTATGTCTGAGCGTCAGGAGGATGCTTTATGGCGTTCTTGGCTTTTCATATCCATCATGGGCCATGTAACGATTGGAACTTATAAATAAAAGCACACTTGTACCGTCCAATATATAATAACTCTACTTCTTTACAACTGTATTTAAAATCACACTCAAATAATAAGATGAAAATAGATTATGACCCAATAGGTTAGGCTTGTGCACTTCGTTTGACAGCTGTCCATAGCATAAGGGCCTTCCTCACATTCAGTGACAATCACTATCCTATTCAGCACTGGCCGCTCATAATTTTTATGTAACTAATCAACTGAATTCCCTTTTAAGTTTATTATTAAACTATCATATAACCGTCATATATATATATAATAAAAAATCATAAAAATACTTCTTCATTTAAACAAGTTGATCCAAAACAGTTTCAGGCTCTCATAGTTCCAGATATATTGGGAAAAAATAGTTTTCAGAGCTCTGTTCGTGAGTTAAGCGACCTTTCAATAATACGATATTGTGTTCATGATTTGAGTGATATAATTTCGTGTACTCGAGATCCTGACATAACATTCTGTGTCATTTATTTTATACTATTTATTATGATGATCTTTATGTGTATATGTACATATACCTAGATGATTTATACCTAAGCTTATACATACTCGTATTTTAAAAGGAATATTGTAAAGATTTCACTTATATTATTATTATTATTTTTTTATGTGAAAGGTGGCAAACGAGCAGACGGCCCACTTGATGGAAGGTGGTTACCGTCGCCCATAGACATCCGCAACATTTTGTTGCGGATGCGTTGCCAACCTTGTTTTTTGGGGATAGGGAGGGGTGGGAATAAGGAAATGAAAGGAAAGGGTAGGAATAAGGAAAGGGCAACCGGCTCTCTCACTCATCAGACGAAACCCAACCATTAAAGGCTACTTCACGCCGATCTTCTGTGAGAGGGTGGTACTTCCCCGGTCGAGCCAGCCCATGTTAGAGCTGTAGTAACTCACCACAGCTAGGCTCTACCACCATTAATAAAAAAGATTTTTTTTTCAAAAAATAAGCAAGTATGTTGTTGATTATATTCTTAATTATTTGCAATTTATGAGATCATAGAATTGAAGATAGTTGTGAATGAGAGCAACAAACAAAATTATCATGAACACTAATAGCGGATATGAGCAAAACATATGAAATAAATGAATTGAAGTGGATATAAAATATGCGAGATTCGTACATTATTTATTACATATTATTATTTAGATATAAAAAAAAACTTTTAATTTAACTTTCTTTTCCTATTTAAAACACAGGTGCCTTCCATAAATGTATATTTGATAATATACAAGGAAAGTGCTATTGACAAGGTTGAGAAATTTGTCAAAATTTATTAAGTAATGAAATATCAAAAGTAATATATATGGGAGGGTAGGGTCCATAAGTTTTCTTTTTGTGCATTAAATGAAAACAAAGCTATTTTCCCCATACAAAAAAAGTTATGTAATACTTAATATTTATTATAAAAAGACAATAACAACATGGACACCATAGTGATGACGAATCCTTTGAAAATATGATAAATAATGTATGAAATTTATTTTATTAATAGTTTCTGTGTCAAACGATTTAGTCCACAAGTGACAATGATCGTTCAATCCAAAAATATGTTTTTCTTTTTACTATTATTTTTATGTTCAATACAAATGTCTACATGTAATGTTTGTAAACAAAATTATGTGTAAGTATTCATGAAAAATGTACTAATTAATTATTTTTTTATATAAATTATACAATATTAAACAAAGGCTGCGCTAATTTAGGTGCTTAGAAATTGTTCTTGCACTAAGTATTGATTGTTTAATAAACATAAATAATTCTTATATTATTTATGCTTTAAAAATATTAGTTATAAAATTGCAAATAAAGTGTGTTTTTAATTCATAATTTTATATGAAAGCTGAAAGAGTAAATAAAGATAAGATTATTTAAAAACATCACAACAAATTTATATTGTTTTCAAAAATATTAATTAAAATAAACAGTTTTAGAAAAGTGGTTCCAGAGACTGTCTTACGGACTGCGAAAGAAACTTACAGAGGCAATTGTTTTTTTAGATGTACGAAGACAAGAATTAAACAGGATTATATAGAGAGACTCGTTTATGTATGTAATAACAATATTTTTTAAGCAATTTATTTTAAGCAAAAGTTAACTACAAGTTAATGTCAATAGTGATAGTATCACATTTCATAATTTTAAACTTCTATAAAGAAAAAAAAGTTGCGTATTTTAAGCTATAAAAGATTTTTTTCTTTACATGACATATAATCAGGCTTTATATCTTTGCGTCATATATGTTAAATATATAAAATATTTTTTATTTGTATATAACAGAAAACCGTCATGGGATCCAAAGATATCTGTTGTTCTGGTTATATTCGAGATGATGTGGCATCAAATAGAGAGTAAGTACGAGTACGTTTTTGTGTGATTGCAAATTATGTTGTCAAGACTATCATATGCTCTACTTCACGAAATGTAAAGTATTTGACAAGTAAATTATAAGTTTGTTTTTTAACTTCATTGTTGCTGGTAGGACATTTTCTTCGATAGATAGAGAGGAATAGATGAGAATTTATAGGGAGTGGGTCATAAATAATGTCGGTTTTCATATTGGAGCACTACTAAGCCTCAATTAAGACATGTCGTAACATGTTTAGACAAGTCTCTAATTCTATGAAGAGTGCAACTATTGCTCTTTCTTTTTATAATTTCCTCTTGTTGGCGACGTAGTATGATTTTATAATAAATAGTTTGGAGTGAGATCAATATGAAATCCGTGTAAATGATACAAAATTTATTACAATGAAAAGTTGGCAAAATGAATAGGAAAACACTTTTAATAATCAAATGCCAAAGAATTGGATAATAGTATTTCTAATAGTGGAGATTTGATGCTGGTCGAATGCTTATTTAATAGAAATTAGAAGGGAAGTTGTGGAAAAAAACCTAGAACAAGAACTCACCTACTATTAGACTCCCTTGGACTTTCTACAGATATAATATATCACCATTTGAGATCTATAGGTAAAATATTCGTGCCACATGCATATACAGATTCAAGGGAAAAGTCGCGTAAAAAAATGTAGACAGCAATTTACCACAAATGAAAAAGAGGCCGATTTGGGTGAAAATCTTGTTGTATGGCTCTCAAAATCATTAGTGTACTTCGAAAACTTCCAAGAAAGTCGAACTATCATTGCTAAGGTACATAGTAAGCCAGCGATGGGAATGTTGAGGTTTTATCGAAGAAGTATCGAGGTTCATTGAATCCAAACATTCGAAACCGATATTATTTATGAGACACCCTCTATAATTATATTGACTAAAGTTTCCATTTTTTATAGTTTTAAATATATAAAATTACTCCATTAAAATGTTTTGTCATTGTTTCATAACATTGAATGGCTTGAATTACAGAGGAAGACTTCAATGCAAACCGGAATGTGACTCAAATTGTGAAAATGGATATTGTGCTGAGCCGGAGAAATGCCTCTGTAATCCAGGGTATGAGCTTCATCCAGAAATCAAAAACAAGTGCGTCCCAGTGTGTACTAATGGATGTGGACATGGAAATTGTATAGCACCGGACACTTGTGAATGTAATTATGGATATCAACTAAAAGACAAAACATGCCAACCAATCTGCAATGAGCCCTGTGTTAATGCAACATGCGTAGCACCGGATAAATGTGAATGTTATTTAGGATATAAAGAAAATGAAAACAATATTTGTCAGCCATACTGTTCTAATGGATGTATAAATGGTATTTGTACAAGTCCTGAAAATTGTACTTGCAATGATGGTTGGTATAAAGACGAGGAAATATGTAAGCCATACTGCGATTTTGATTGCGGTGGTGGTACATGTGAAGCCCCGAATAGTTGCGTTTGTAATCCAAATTTCACTAAAGCTGAAAACTTAACATGCGTACCTCATTGTTCCCAAGGATGTGCAAATGGAATTTGTGTTAGCCCAGAAAATTGTGTTTGTAACAAAGGATGGGCTAAGAATGATGATCTAAATGTCTGTGTACCACATTGTGAGGTCGAATGTGGCGGAGGCATTTGTGCTAGTCCAAATGTTTGCGAATGTTATGCTGGTTATATTATGTCTGCTAATGGGACATGTATACCCGATTGTCCCCAAGGCTGCCCACACGGTCAGTGTGTGCAACCTGGAAATTGTAGCTGTGAAAATGGATGGTATAAAAACGAGACTCACGACGAATGTCGTCCTATATGTGATAACAATTGTATAAATAGTATTTGTGTCGCACCGAATACATGCGAGTGCTTATCTAACTATACAAAGGATGAGAATTATTTATGTATACCTTATTGCTCATCAGGGTGTCCAAATGGCACATGTTTTAATCCAGAAGTATGTGAATGCAATGATGGCTGGCAAAAAGATGAGAATGGTATTTGTGCACCGAAATGCAATCGCCCTTGTGGAAATGGAAAATGTATAGAACCTGATGTTTGTGAATGTTTTCCTGGATATAAGATAAATATCAATGATAAAAAACATTCAGATGGTCTATGCATCCCTGAATGTAAGGGATGTAATGGAACTTGTATAGCACCAAATAAATGTGTCTGTGAGCGTCCACTGAAAGCTGTTAACGTAACGGAGGACGGACAGAAATGTGATTGCAGCGATTTTTGTATTATAGGTCAAAGGATATGCCGATATACTGCTTGTGTTTTCAACCATAATTATTATGATTATACAACAGATCGCTTGCACGATATGGTGGAAAATACAAACATCAGCACGATTACTAAAGAGGTGGGAACTGACGGCATGACCACTGATAATATTTTAGAAGAAAAATCAGGTTCGTCGTTTGATTCGGATACTTTACATAGAAGCCAAAGAAATTTCCAGTAAGTTATTTTTAGAACTTATTTACTTTTACAAATTATAACATTGTGGTATTCTTTATATTTTTGACATATAGAATAGGAACATATTTTACAAATATACGTGACAAAAACGCAATCAATTAGTAGATTATTGTTTATTTCAGGATACCATACGGGGCATATTTTGCAATTCCGTCTATAATAATAGTTTTAATAGTATCCAGTATACTTATTTGTAATCGACGAGCTATATTACAATATTGTAAGGGCAGCAGTTACGTTGTTGAAGGTATTCACATTACTTTTCCGTCTCTCTTGTTTATACACATGTTAAAACATTTATGTTTTTTCCAGATGACAAAACCTTACGTGGAAGTGTTTTATTCAACAACGTCAGTCCAAATCCCTTAAAACACCAACCTGATCTAATCACAGAAGATATTTAGGCTATAAACATTTTGTTTCGTTTCCAACTAGCAATATAATTATAAATTATTTGTAAACCAAATCAAAAGACTTATTGGCAACTAATTATATAGGATGGCAACCGGAGGTTACAGGAAAACTATGAAAAATACTTATATGTATATTAAAATAAGAATTACATGTTAAAACTTATAACCTACACCTTAGACTACATGACTGCCCCAATGTTAGGATGAAAATAACATTCTATTGCTTGTATAGTGTAAGGAATCTTGTGCTTCACACGGTTTGTTCTTCGTTCCGCGGAGTCAGCGGCGTCACTCGTTATATGATATTTTACCGATACAAAGATGTCGCCCCGGCGATGTTCAATTATATGTTCATACATACTATGTAGCGCGTACGTAACAAACTTATAAACATTTAAAACTAAATGTTACTATGTCTCTTGTTTATTTTTGTTCAATAAAATCTTATAAATTATATTATGCAATTATAAGTAGATAAATTAATTGTATACACTATATACTATTGATTAATTGTATACACTATATAATAATTTGAATTCGACAAATACATAAGTATTTTTCGAATTAAGTAAAATGAAAAGTTATTCACAAGGATAACGAATTAATTGACTAGAGAAAAAAGTTTGCGGAGGCCTCAATAGCAAGATACACAAAATATGTTTGTAGTAATTTAAAATTGTTACTATAGTTTATATACTTTGTATATGGTATTTATAATATATGAATAGTGTAAATATGTTGTTATTATATTTTTTACCCTTAATTATTTATTAAGTTTAGAAGAAAGGGCTAATGGATGTTATTAAAAATATTTTTTGTCATAGTTAAAATTTCAGTATGTACAAAATTCATATTCTAAATTCGGTTATATTTTAAACATTCATGTTAATCGATAGAACAGAACCACTTTAGGGTTTGTAAAAATTTATCTTTTCGTACTAATTTTCATTTTATATGCAATCCTAATAACGAGTAATATAAATTAAAGGTATCAATAAAAGTATAAGTAACTTTTTATTAATCAGTATTATTCAGATATGTTATAAAGAAGGATCTTCCTTTAGTCCAATAGTTCGCTGATGGAACGACGGATTCTTTTGACGCAGTTCTGTCGACCTTTCACACTTGTGTCCTTGTAATATCCAGGGTTGCAGATACAGAAGTGTGGCGCTGAGCAGACTCCATTTGGACAACCACCAGGACAATTTGGTAGACATCTGGATCACATAATGATTAACGTGTTTAATTATCTTGTTATAAGACGTTAAATAGAAAACTGATCGCCCTTAAATAGTCAAGTAAGCAAAAATTACGATCAGCTACTATCAGTGCTATGAGCAAAAACAAAAAAGTATATATTCGAGACTAATTTGAAGTTTTATTGCATATGTTACTATAGTCTTCGGGAATAAAATAAATTATAATATGGTGCTCCATAGCAAAATAATATTGAGATTAAAAATATGTTTGCAAAAAGTTTGTTTTAAAGCTCATGTTAATCTTTTTATCGTTTTTAAATCATTCATTATTCAAATTTATTCTGTCAAAATCAATTTACTATCAAATTTATTCTAATAAACCTATAATTTTTTTTGAGTGAAGTTGATTCAGCTAAAACAATACTTTTGTGTGAGGCAGAAAGTAGAAAATACTAATAGCCTTTTTTGACTTCGACGTATTTCTATCAACTAAATTAGCCTTAAAAACTGTACATATATTACCTTGACTGTGTTACATCATTCAAGTCCATAATATATCCAGGTTTACAACGACAAAATCCTTCTCTACAAACACCATTAATACAAGGTTGATCACATTCATCATTGCCGGTGTTCGTCTGCTGACCATATCCTGATAACCCGTTACTTGGAGGGTAACTAGGGTATGAAGATTGTCCATTTATTCCAGATGGTGCATTGTGACCTGGCTGGCCTTGGTATTGAGGTTGAGTAGAAGTACTTTGATTTCCTTGGTTTCCGGGGTAAGAGCTTTGATTTTGGTTATTAGGATGTCGTTGATCAGCTGTTGTGGGATATCCAGAAGGTAACCTATAGCCAGGTAGGTCAGGATATTCAGATTGCCTAGTTTTTTCATGAGGCCCAGGTCTAGATGGTCCCGGATAGCCAGGGCGGTATCCTGGTTGATCAGGGTATAAGAAAGGTCCAGGTTGTCTCGGAAATTCATATTGTCGTGGGTCGTCATATTGTCCCGGATATCCGGGTTGTCCTGGGTATTGTCCCGGATATCCGGGTTGTCCTGGGTACTGTCCAGGATATCCGGGTTGTCCTGGGTACAGTCCAGGATATCCGGGTTGTCCTGGGTACAGTCCAGGATATCCAGGTTGTCCAGAAGGTCCAGATTGGCCAGGATATCCGGGTTGTCCAGAAGGTCCAGATTGACCAGGATATCCAGGTTGTCCAGAAGGTCCAGATTGGCCAGGATATCCGGGTTGTCCAGAAGGTCCAGATTGACCAGGATATCCAGGTTGTCCAGAAGGTCCAGATTGACCAGGATATCCAGGTTGTCCAGAAGGTCCAGATTGACCAGGATATCCAGGTTGTCCAGAAGGTCCAGATTGACCAGGATATCCGGGTTGTCCAGAAGGACCAGATTGACCAGGATATCCAGGATATCCAGGTTGTCCGGGTTGTCTTTGTTGCCCTGGTTGATAGCCAGGTTGGCCTGGATGTTGAGGAATTGGTCCAAATTCAGGTTTTTCAGGGAAACCAGAATGAATACTGCCATTGTAGATTTGATTTTCAGTGTAGAGTTGATCTCCTCTTTCTTGAAAACTAGTACTATTTTGTATATATATTTGACCTGGATATGTGTTGTTGGCGGGTACTGTTTTATGCATCTGTTGTCCAGGATACAATGGATAAAGGTTTCCGGGTTGGTGTGGTTGAAAAGGACCACTTTGGTCGCAAACATTCGGACTGACGCATCGGCTGTTTGGTCCACATCCCCTGCAATAAAAATATAATTTAAATGATATCAAAGTAAAAAACGAATAAAGAACACATTCATAGTTATCGAAATGTTTTAATGAGGGAAATAATAACAGTATAGACAAATAGCGTAACTGAGTCTTCAGCTAAGGGGTGATATCGGCGCGGGGGCTAGGTAACTAACGAGGCCGAGGGTGGAACGGGTGGCAGACTCGCATTTTGTAATATACGTGAAATGAAAAGCCCCTCCCCCCTCCCGCACCCTCCTCAGCCCCCACAAAGCCATACCTTCGCTTGTACTCTGCGGACGATGACTCAATTATCTGGTCCGTCTATAGTAAGCCTATTCTTTTGTTACCTATGTTTTGAACAAATTTGTTATATAAATATTATTTAAAACGTTTGTTTTTTGGGGCTGTTATAAAAGTTATTTGTTTTGAATCTAACACATATATTTATAGAGAGATATATATATTTTTCTATATATGTACATGGGCTTATTGTTTTTACTAGAGTCCATTGAATTTTATTTTTATTATTAATACTTCATGCACGACCTCATCCGCCACCCACTAGAAAATGTGTTTTTTTCATAAATATAATTAAAATATTTAAAGAATACTTTTCCCTGATTTAAAGTATTATAATTCGTTCTTTTGATTATTCCATGAATGTCTTATTTATCCTAATTTGGTAGTATGATTATTGTATACTTTATCCCTTTCTGAGAGATCCAGTTAGTTCTTATATAATAAAGCACTTACTGAGAACACTGTGGAATACATTGACCTTGTTGATCTAATGTATAGCCAGGCTTGCATCGACAATCATTGGGTGCCACACAATCGCCGTTGCATTTACTACAAACAGGCCTGCAATTACCCTCGGGGGTAGATTGGTAGCCGGGCTTGCATTCACAAACATTCAGGTCGGTGCAATTACCTGTGTTCAAAATTTAATTAGCGACATCAAAAATAAAATATAAGTCAAAATTTATTTTGAATTATTTTCCTTACCTATACCTCCGCAGTTTTCCCTGCAAGTTGGAATACAATACTTGCTCTCAGAGTCCAATTTATATCCGGGCTTGCACAGACACTCACCACCGCTGCAATGTCCATTCTGGCAACCTATAGGGCAAATGGGTATGCAGAACCCAGCCAAATTTTTCACATGATCAGGGAAACACGAGCATGTCTCGGGTGCAGTACAAAGCGCATTGACGCATTCCTTGGAGCATATTGGATCACAAATTTTGGAGTTGTGGATGTTTCGTATGTAGCCTTTACAACAGCTTCTAATGCGGCTAAGGTCAGGTCGTGACTGAAGATTTAAAAATTGATAATTAAAAAAAAGGTAGAACGATAATAGTAAAACATGATCGTAAACTTACACCATTGCCCATAGGAACTTGAGCTGGATTACGCACTAACGTGGCAGTTCTGAAAATAGATACACAGCCGTATATTTGATTATCTATAATTATTTTTTCGATAACAATTTTGGATTTTAGATAAGTACTGACGGTACTTCAATGTAGCAAACACCAACTTCATAGTCGATTCGGTGTATCGCAGTTGTGTTGAGGGACCCATAACCATTTGTCATGTTGTAACGCATGTCATATCCCCCGTACTGACCCCTGCTGCCATTGTAGAAGCTGTGAAATAAAGAATTAAGGAAATCTAAGCAAGAAACAAAACCATATGTTTGAGAACTTTATAAAGATGGTACAGTGGAACAAGAACGACGTGGGTTTATGCAATTAGCATCCGTCTGGGAAAATCATTAGTCAGTTAGTTGGTTAGCCTTACTCACATGGGGTAGTTGGCTGTTGGATTGTAATGATAGCCGCGATGACCGCCTTTTACAGATTTAACATTTACATATTCGGCATCATTGTTCGCGTTTACGCAGCCCAGCAGCAGAAACCCGAGTAAAAACAAATACATTACACCTGAAAGCAATATTGTTACATTAAAGTTCCCTACTAAATATTTCGATATTGGTGTTATTAAATAAAATTATCTAGATTCCACAGGATCATGATTCAAAAAGGAATTCTACACTTCCATCTTCTTCTTCTATCTGGCAGTTTCCCAGTTTTAGCCAGGCTTTACATGTTGTGAACAGTTTAGGCTAATTGTTTTTACGACCGGCCGCCTGTCTGACATCAACCCTCTTTTGGAGTACATTAATCATAATACTCTTAGAAAGTACATATGACTCGGAAAAGTCACATTGGTACTTGCCAGGATCGAAGCCGCACCCTCATGCATGAGAGGCGGGCCTTTTAACCACTAGGCCACCACTGACTTACTTCCATATATTTAAATTGAATATTTTTAAAGATTTTTAAGAAAAAATCTTAATAAAATTAGCCACATAAATAATGATAATTTTCCATCATGATTATTACAATTTATAATTCGTAAAGTAAATGTTAGTTTAAATAACAATAATTAACATTACACAACCAAAATGTGTTCGATGTTTTGAGATAAAATAAACTTACCGATTATATTGTTATCGTGTGTAACTTGCGTCTATAACACACAAAACAACACTGAGCTTATATTATGATATAGGTGATGAATATAGGATTTGTAAAGCGCGATATATTTGTACTTATATGGTTCCGTAGAATATTAATCTATAGAGTATAAAAATACTAAGTTTTGGTTTTTATACTCCTACTAGCTTTCCACCCGCAGCTTTGCCCGCTTGGAGTTCGGTTATGTCGCGTTTCCAAGATAACCTTTCAAAAGTCTGGAATAAAAACTATCCTATATTCTTTCTCAAGGTCCACTCTATATCTGTACCAAATTTCATTAAAATCAATTCTGTGGTTTAGGCGTGAAATCGTAACAGACAGTCAGACAGACAGAGTAACTTTCGCATTTATAATATAAGTAGGGATATATAAGACCATCAATGAAATAGGCTGGCAAAATATGTTATATGAGTAAATTTAAGCTAAAACTACAAAAGTATTTTGAATTCTGAAACAAAAAGTTTTTATACATTTTAAGGGAACCCTAAATCAACTGATTTCGTCATCTGTAAATAACGATGAGATAATACGCTATATGTGTCACAAAATAAATACAACTAGAATAATTCTTCAAGTATTTTACCTCAAGCTAGTTTTATAATTATAAAATTTCAAATTTTTTTCTTGTAGACACAAATAAAAAAATATATTAATAAATATATGTAAAGGACTGTCAATTGATGTGTAAAATCTAAAAAAAAACTTCGATATTTAATAAAATATTCCAACATTGTGTGTAGATACTTCCCATGCATATCAATCACTAACTTTTGGGTCTTGGGTCCATTTGTTTTTGTCCATTAATTCCTTGAACACCATTGATTAATCGATTCAAGCCACAAAATCAATAGTACTTACTAGTATTATTTTTACTAACTACGATTATTTAAGACACGTCTTCACGAAGTTTGATATAAAGTAATTTCGTCATTATCATGGGAATGCGAAAACATTAAAATATCATAGAAATGTAGATACGTATCTTAAGGAAAACTCCAATCATCCTTAGTTTCTGTGAGCAGATCTTTATTTCAGGTGTCCCAACTCAGTGATGTTCGATACAGAATGCCAAAGTCAAAAATGCCAAGATATGCACCGTCCAATTATCACTTATAATATGCTGATGCCTAGAGAGGTAATTTCATTAAAAATTATAGTTTTTTAAAAACAGGTCTGGCATTCTGTAAAATTTAAAACCTACAACTCTCTTTTTAATATGGCTTCAATCGCACTGGATATTTTATGATTTAAATTTCATGTCTGTTTGATATATAAAATTGTATGATACTGCATGCCACTTGAAAGTATTTAGGATAATTATTACGTTAAATAATATGTTATATTTAATAATTAATTTTTATGACACTTGATATTATAAATAATATTAATAGGATTGAATACAAGCTAAAGATGGCTTGTTGGTGACATAATAGCATTAATCATAGATCAAGTCAAGTGAGTCAAGTTTCTTGTAAGAACTTTGTAACAATTTGTTTATATGTATATATGTAGTACATACCTTATTTATTGAACGAAAACTCCAAGGCTCGGTGCTACAAAATAGAATTAAAGAATAAAGTACATAACAATACCTAGTATTACTTTTCAAGTAAAGTTTCGTTGCTAGTTTTCTAATTATAACTTAGCGTGGCAACCAAGTGAATGATAATAATTCATTATGAAGTTGTTATTAAGATAAGAAAAACAGTAAAATATCATGAGCTAGGGGTAGTTTGATGTAAGATGATTACTTACTTCCACTATGAGAAAAATAGCAAAAGTTTTTTTTATACAAGATAGAACAAAGGTTATTAGAAGAAATTATATTCTTATATGTACAACAACGACTGCTTCAGGAGTTCTCCCAGGTATTTTGTGTACCCTAAATCATTTCTCAATATCGCCTTAAGTGATTTGGGAAAACAAAAATAATTATTCTTTTATATAACATTGACTTTGCCAATGAATATATCCACTGCACTTGTAACGGCTAACAGATATCTTCCTACACTCTGACCTCGCTTATCTTCTTCCACGAATATCGCAAAACAACCAATAAACAGCAAATTCTAAGTACGGATAAAGATATATTATTTTTGAGAATTTTGATTTTATACTTTGTATTTTTTCCCACATATATTATTTGATTAATTTAGTGTTAATGTATATTAAACAGAATTAAATTTTTTCTTAGAAAGCCGCCTTCAAAAAATATTTGTATTTATGAGATCGAGATTATTTTAATATCGTGTATTTATCAGATATGATTTAAAAAAATGATAGATTCTTATAAAAATATAAAGGGAATATTTTAAAACATGTTGAAATTTTATAATATATAAAATAACTTTATTATAGCTGTATGGATGCCTACTTAAATCATTAGTCTAAAAATTTCAACAGGATCATCCAATTAATTCCTATTTCTTTAATTTTAAATCTTATTTTAATGTATTTGAGATAAAGAGTTGCATTAATTTTACATACTATAACAGTTGTCTTGATAAAAATTCCTTCTTAATTAGGTACTCAAATAAAGTTTGGTTCAAGATAATACGCTGATATGTTCTTATCATTTAAAATAACAAAAATGATAGCAAACAAAATGTTCTCTATTTTATTTAATATTAGGTAATGATCTATTACACATCAAATAATATTATCATTCACACAACAACTATCTTTGGTACAATTGCATAACTAATGAATACTCTATAATGTATTATTGTAAACAGCGCCATCTATTAGCGAGTTGGTGAACTGCTATTCGCATTAGGCAGTCATAATTCTGTGACGGCCTCCCCGTTCAAGTTAACAACTTCTATAGCATGTTCAGATGGAGGTCTCCAGCAAGGAATTTCTGCATATAATGGTTCAGATGTCGTACAGTCAATAACGTCCAGTTTCGCCTCACACTTTAATGACTCTATAGTGTAATCTGCCACCGAAAGAGGTCGCTGTCTAAGAAGTTTCTCATCATACTTCATAGATGACGCGACAGAGCATCGGACTGGTATGGTTCCAAAATCTTGATTAGTGTGAGGTAAGTGGTCGTAATGACACTCTAAAATTCCTAAAAACGATAGAAACAAATTAAATATTATTGTTACAATGAATACGTATAATTTAAGTTTAGAAATATACGAGGTACCTCTGAAATTCTCCAACATTATAGGCGAAATTGCTTGTACAACAACAGGTCGCATAAATTGCTTCAGATTTCTATCCAAGGTCGATATTGGTTGATAATGATTTCTATCCGTAGTAGGAGTATCTAAAAAAATATTATGAGAAAATTAAAAAATTAAAAAAAGGTATGTGGCCCATGAGGGGATCGAACCCGCGACCTTCGCGTTATTAGCACGACGCTCTAACCAACTGAGCTAATGGGCCTTGTCTATACTTTTTGAAATTATTAAGCTTATCTTTAACGTCAAAATTTATAAAATATATTTAATGATATTAAAAATAGAGGTACCTGGTAGCGGTGTATGGAATATACTTCTAACATAGGGAGGCGGTTCATCATTATTGTCCATGATGACTTGCATTCGTATGTCATTGATTTTCCTCACGTCATCGTATCTGTGTCTCTTACACCTCTCCATCATGACGATGACGACTGCTACTGTTATAACGGCCATCATGACTCCTCCTGCGATACTTATCACAGATATTAGATCTAGCGAGGTATGATCTCTTTCCCTATCACTCATCACGGCAGTGATATGCTCAGGTTCTGTTAAAATATGAAAAGTTTCATCTTCAGTGGTCTCCTGTGTTGTTATTCTATTAAAGTTTAATATTTTTGATGCATTCCTTTTAGTGCTATTAGTCCTTTCTGTTACGGCAGGCATTTTCACAGGTTTTTCAGTAGTTTTAATTTTTGGTATACCTTTATCTGATATGTTAGTATTAAGATCCGCCTTGGTAGTTTTGCTCACCTCCTCAATCTTTGCTGATGCAGCTTTAAGCCTTTTAAATACTAATGGCGGAGTAGTTATTACGTATGAAAAATTTCGATGTAGAGTTTGTTGGTTAGTCAAAGATTTTTTTGCAGAAGTAGTAGGAGAAGTCAAATTCTTGCTTTCTACGAATAACATGCTGTTAGTTGTTCTACTTGTGGCTAAAACTGTATTCAACTTTGCTTTCGTAACAGAAGTAGATGTCTCCGATTGAGTTGTATTTATTACATATTTTTTTGATATTGGTTTAAATGTAATATGCTCTGTGTTATTCCGTGGCAGATGATGTGTTGTTTTAGGCGAGGTCTCATTTTTTTCAATAAAAGGAGATAAAATTTTGATTGTAAACGGGATAGCAGTTGAGGGCTTATGAGCCATGGACTTTGTATAGCCTTGTTCTGTCTTACTGAAGGGCTTCGTTGTGATATTTGTCTTTTGTATTAAGTATGTTGCAGTAGTTAGTGCTATCTTTTTAAAAGTTGCGTGGGATATTGATGTTGGTATTATCGAAACGATGATTGTCTTTGGTGTCGTATTTTCTGACAAAACTTCAGACTTATTTGCAGTTATTTTATGTTTCATTTCGTGACTTGTTTTGAATTTTGTGTCGAGAAAAATAGATTCACCTTTTTGTGATGGTTTAATCCAAATTTCTTTTGGCTTAAATTTAGCTGATGTAGGTTGGTTCTTCGTTGTAGTTTCAATTTTAGGAGTAGGTTCCGGTCTGATTTCTTTTTCAACAGTCAGTACTGTATTTATCTTTGGTTCTGTTGTTGTTGAATGTTGTTTAACAGTAGAACTCACAGGAAGTGTAACAGGAGTGATTGTTGAAGTTACAGTTGTGAGATGTTCAGTTGTACTGGGTTCAGTGACATTGATAGTAGTGGTACGAAATGTACTAGATGCTTTTAAGGCTGTTGTCGTCGATAATGTGCTAGTTATTGGGACTGTTAATAAAGTAGCAGTAGTTGTTGGAGCATAAGTTGAATTCAAAGAAGACATGGAAATTGTAGTACTTTTTAATATTCTTGGTTCAGAAGTCGATGTTTCATGCTCGGGTGGAAAAGTAGAGGACGTACCTGCCTCTGAAGTTTCTGTTCTATTGTAGATAAAATTGGTAACTGTTGTTTTAGGAAATTTTTCCTTATTATCAACCCACAATGTCGTTGAAGGTGTAACATTTTCGTATGAAATAGTTTGACTAACAACTGAAGTGATTGTGGTTTGTGGTGTGGACGTCTTGGGAGTGTTTTCAGTCTTTTCAGTTGACGTTGTTACGACTATCGACGAAGTTAATGACGGCTTTGAAGTTGATAATATTTGCATTATAGATGTACTTATAGTGGTCAGAGTAGTTGGCACAGAGGTCGCAAGAGTTTGAACAGTAGATTTAGTGGTTGTTAGTAATTTTTCCATCAAGGCGGGCGGAGATGTTGTTGGCATGCGGACTTGACAACTGAAAAAGATTATTAACAACAATTTACTTTACCTAAGTTACGAATACATATTAAATATTACTATAAAGCTTCAAGGAGTAGAAAACATATATTTAAACTGAATACTAGTTGCATATTTTGTCGTAGAAGTGAGAGTTATTAATGTTATAATAAAAAAATGGTACACTAAGGGTAATAATACGAGGGTCAACCCACCTCTCACCTTGCCATCCCTCATCACATTCACACTCTCCTGTGATTGAGTCGCAGTATCCGTTGTTGCACTCGCCGCAATCCTTGGCACAGTTTGGACCCCATTTGTCTGCTGGACAATCTGTGGATTCCATTGGAATTATGGTTAAATTATACATATATTGAGTTATGGGACTGTGAGAAATGTGTCACTTTAACTGGATTTCGAGGATAAATATGTAGGTCATTTGATTTTAAATCAATCAATTTAAGTAAAAAGGGAATGGCATTATTATTTTTGTTATTGTTCATAACATGAATATCTTAAGAAAATATATATAGAATAAGAACAAGAACTAGTTTTTGATTAGTTAATGCAATATATTAAGTATTTGTTAAAACAATTTATTAGGTAAATATGAGTGTGAGGTAACAATAAGATTTATTCACCCTCTGAGCAATTGTTGCCCATTTTCCCGCTGGGACATATAGGTACACAAGTAACATCCCTCATTTTATAACCGGGACAGCACACCGCCACTTCTGCTATACGTTCACCGGTCTGTTAAATGTGTTTAATAAATATGATGAAATACTTATTTACTTCTTCTGAAACTTACAACATAATGTATAATATCTGGAATCTCGTTCTTCAAGGATAAGTAAATCTAATAACAGTAATTTATAAAAGCAAGGTTTATATTAAACATCGGTTATTGTGTGATTGGTCGAGCTCTCGCATTTATTATAATATGTAGTTGCGTTTACTTTGAAATGATTTAACAATTCGTTCCCGTAATTTCATTCGTTTCTTTGTTTGAAAAAATGTATACAAGTCGAGTACAGTACATTAATGAAAGAGAACTCTTTCGTAAGTATGAAATACGAAATATTCATTTAAATCCGTCAAAAAACAACAATAAAACGAGTAAAAGTTTGCCAATCAAAAGAACGAAATAAGCTCTTGGAAAAGTAAGTAGTTTATTAGGTATACATTCATTAATTTGTTCTTTCACTCATTCATTGTGAATGAGTTAATATATACATCTCTTCTGTGCTACTATTCTGCTAATGAGACCTAAGATTTTCACGAGTATTCATTGAAATGAAACTAATATTTTCAGATTTACTACGCGATTTTTATATTTGATTATACTACATACTCCCGACGTACGTCCCTACATACGAAACGTCGGGAGTATGTAGTTTATAATCAAAAATAAAAATCGCGTAGTAAATACGAAAATATTAGTTTCATTTACTATTCTGCTATATAACACTGTATACTAGTATCGTATGATGCACCTCACCTCGAGTCTGGTGAGCTCCCTCATCTCGGTACTCCACTTGGAACATCTCGGCGGCATCGCAAAACACCACTCATAAGTCCGAACAGACATTGGAGCGCGGTATTTGACGCGTTTGGTTATATTATATCTGGAAAAGTGATATAGATTTATCCTTACTGGCCTAATATCGGATAATTTAAAACCACCATATAATTGCGAGCCGCGAAATCTTTGTAACCATTGTTAAGGGAATTGCGGGTAGGAAGAACTATGCAATTTAACAACGTCAAACTTCAAATGGGGAAATAGTGCAAAAAGAATTTTTTTACACAGCTAAACAGAATCATGATTTTGAAATACACATACAATATGTCAATGAAGATTTTTCAATGTGTACGTCGTGCCATTAAATGTCCAACATTATGCTATTTCAATTCTATCGTTGAACTTGAAACAATAAATTAATTCTGGTCGATTGTCAACCGTTTGGTGATGTCTGGACAAAAAAATTGAGCTTCTCAAAGATAATATCTTAATCGAATATAGCTTTCATTAAAATTTTCAAATATAAGCCGTATACAAAATTATTTTATGACCAATCAGTCTGTGTCTATTCAAATTTTAAGCTATAAATATAAAGTAGGTTGATATTTACATGTTATCTAATCCTTCTAAGTAATGATTTTCTTTTGATCAATTGTTCCTTCATGAATTAATTATATACCTCACGAGCATTTTAATAATAATTGTTATAAAATGGACTGCCATAATGACTTAAGTAAGAAATATTGGTAATGAACTCTTAGTCAAATCTATTAGGTCTTTGAGACTCGCTATAAACGCTGTAGCGAAATTGTACCTGACAATTTTATAATTTTAAACTGTCCTAAGATATCGGAAGCCCGGAAACATGTAAATTTTTTGAATACAAATAGAAATAAAACAAAATAAAGTACGGACACAGTGTTTATATCTTTATGGCATTAAACAGTCAATCCTTTTGAAAAGTAAACAATGAGTGACAAAAGCAAGGATACGAACCAGAAACCTCATTTATACTAGAATTACTGTATATACTACTACTAATCTAGTAAATATTTTCCCAATTTCTATTTTCTTTATAAATGAGAAAGATTGAGATAATGAATAGAAATATGTTTATAGACGTAAAATTTACTTGATGGATTTTGATAAACTTTTCAATAATTGAGCCGAGACTTCAAAAACATATAATATATAATTGGTCCCTGCATTCCGTATAATTTATACGGGACCACATTTTAGCAGTAGTGTGTAATATGAAGTTACGTGACACTGACGATAGATGTCACTTGTAGCTGTTATATTAAGCACACATTATTGATTTCTCTCTTAACACAATAGCGAAAACAAAGAGGATGAAGCCGTGAACAGAAACATGTATGTACTATATAATTCATCTTCTACCTGGCAATTTCCCAGCTTTAGCCAGGGTCTGCCTTACATATTGTGCATAGTTTTGACTAATTGTTTTTACGACCGGCCGCCTGCCTGACATCAACCTTTGGGAATGCATTAATCAGTGATGTCTAAATATTCTTAGAAAGTACATATGACTCGGAAAAATCACATTGGTACTTGCGGGCCTTTTTTAACCACTGACTTCTTAGTATGTATGTACTATATAAATGTAGTTATAGATGTAAAATACTCACTTCTGTTCCACCATGCACACATTAGGTCCACTGAGAGCCGTCACTTCCAATACTATTCCCATCACCACGCACCATATAATTTGTCCACGCCAACTCCATTTTAACACCATTTTCACTTATTTTCTTTCCATTATAGTTCATCCACTTTTTATTCCTTTCATCTTCTATGTCTGCGCGAAAAGTTATAAAGATAAATGACACGAATTAAATAGTAATTGTGGAATAATTAGGATATATTCCATAGCATCCTGGTCGTTGACCTTTGTCACAATTATGACTGAGGGGAGAGTTTAGATTAGCCAACAATGTCACACAATAATTGAATAGTTAAAAGCAATTATATATTGAATTAATTTTAATTTATTGGACATAATTTAATACGTAACGTCCATCTGTTATATAAAGGATGTGAGATAAGCAATCAATCTTTTTGTCATGTTTCTGCAACGATTTATTTTATTAAAATTTTACTATCCAAAAAAAAATATTCGTATGAATATTATTTAGGTAATTCAGATGTGTTTTTGAAACAAACTGTATTAAAATTTTGTTTAGTATATGAAGCGTCCTCCTTGTATTGCACTAGTTGTGTGATGTAGTTGGTAGCTAAAAGTTTCGCATGCGCATCAATTGGGAGGCAGGATGCGTTTATCAATAGAGGCGATGACCTCTCTAAATTATCACTCAACTGTCTATAACACCGCCTAGCTTATATTACTGAATATTTCAAATAAATCTTGTTGTATATAAAAGTACTAAGTATGGTTTTCTATGACTTATTTGATTGTTTATATAAGGTACATTCAACAAACGTTATCAATCAATGCTTCCATATGTTTTGTCAGGGACCTCTTACACTAACTCGCTAATGGAGGGGTCTAAATAGATTTCATCCGGCCGTCATTGGATGATTATAAAATATATTAATATTATCTACCATTCGACTTGGTTTATTAACCCCCGATATTGTTAAGACTTAAATTAACCCACATATAAAAAAATTTAGATAATTGTATCCTTTACCAGTGGTCAATTTAAATTTTTTTCGTCCACAATTTTTTTAATTTTAAGTCTTTTTGTGCTTCCATAGCTTTTCTGTTGTACCGTAAACAGTGTTACAGGAAAGTTGTAAAGCTTAGTGCACATGACAAACTTTTGCAATGAAACGCATTATTAAGGAATTACTGCCTAGGCATTATGCAAAAGATTGAAATGAGGATATAAATTCATGTATTTTTAAGCTTTTAAAGAAACTGAAAAGTATTTTGAGGTTGTCTTAAATTTTTTTCTATCAATTTTTGCTAATACAATGTAGTAATATTATAAAGTTAGTTTTATTTAGAATAATAGTACTTTTGTTATTGTCAGTTACATTTTTTTATGACATGAGTGTTGTCCTTAATTTCTAGAGCAGCTGCTGTAAAGACCACCATAACGTAAGATTAATTGCCTTAACGACTCCAGCATGCATTAGTCATATTGAGCCTAACGTCTTTCATTTATCACAGAGTAGCTTCAATAAGAGACCGCCGTTAATACTTCATTAGTATCACACCGAAGCGTATTTATAAAAAAATATATCTAATCTGTACTTTACCCAAATAGTAAACAAGTCTTTTTAGAGGCTAGCTTTATATCAAAGCAACTGAAATACATTCACGGAAGTTCTAAAGAAAAATATAAGGCAGGTAAACATGAATCCTGCGAAAGTTTCTTTCATTCAAAAGACTTGAGCGTCACGCTCAATACAGGCTGTTTAAAATGCACTCCCGAATTGTAAAGACTGTTTTTGTCGCTGTTTACTTTTTATATTTTTTTCTGGTGTACAAATTTTCGTTTGAATACTGTGCTCTGTAAAAGCGAGTAATGTACACATCCTGTCAATTAAATGACATATTTTAATTAATTATTTCAATCAATTTAAAATTGTGTTATAATTTGAAAAAAAAAAATAGTGAAAAAAATGTTTCATATTTTATCTTTTTTGGTTAAGTTAATAATTTAGTACAAAAATTCATTACTTATTTGTTTAATATCCACTGTAATACATATTTTTTGGGTTAAACTTATCAAATTATCTTAATATTAGAAATACTTACAATATCATTATTTTTCAGTCTATACAATAAAAATAAAGATCACCAAAGTCACTAAAGTCACCACTGTTCAACACTAAATAGTAAACAAAAGTACCAGGCGTACAGAAGCTGTATGGAGGCGTCATGTGTTTCCCGAATTACGGTCGGGTCTCGACTGGGAGAGATCCACCATGCATGTAGAAAAAAAGGACCGACCTCTATTACTTTCTTGGAAAGGGAGCGTGGAATAAAAAATATTATAAATAGGATCCCATCCACTTTTGGGTCATCAGAGCCCTAAAGGTAAAAAATTTAAGGGATCATACACATATACAAAAGTTACACAAAACATATTATTGAATTACGTTTGGGCAATCTCATTTTGTTATTGTTAAATGTTTTCATATTAAAATTATGTCAAAACGCTGCGGTTGTGTAATGTACTTGCAATATGGATAATGAGATATTTTGTTATGTAATATAGATTATGTGAATACGAAGTAAATTAATATACAGTATTTTTGGTACACTTAGTGTGAATTATAAACTTAACCTTTAGTTAAAGAAAGCTGATTGAAAACCTTTTAACCTTATTTAAATTAATCCAATACATAATAAAATTCCTTTTATCGATTCTTATTTAATGAGTTATGTAAATATGTTTTAAATGGAGAGAAAAAAATACCACAACCCTAATAAAATATTTAAATAATGAATGTTCAAAATATATTAACATAACAGGAGGAATTATACCAGGAAACCAGCACTCGTTTGGAGATTTAACTATATCAGAAGTAGGTTAATCTAAAGTAAACGGTAAGTGTATAGGAATAAGGTTCATTTTTGTTCATAGCTTGTATTATTTTCATTGACGGGGAGGGTGCAATTCAATATAGTAGGCGACGCGCTGTCGCTCGCCGGATTTAATATGACTGTTCTCAGCGTTACATTCGTTTGATGTGAATTGTGTAATTTTTTTAATCAACATCATCAATGCTATATAGAACTTTAAACTTTTGAGAAGCAATTAAAAATGAATCTTAAGTTGTAATCTTTAAAATTAAATTTAATATGTGAAGGTCAAATAAGTAAGTAATTTTCCTAAACCTTTGACGTTAAGTTATAAAGGATTCAAGGGTTACGTATCTCGATTAAATCTGCCTGAGACTTGTTTAAAAGAAAACATTATATAATATCTATACTACATAATATATTTACTTCAATTCATTATAGTTGTTTACCCAAAGGTAGCGAGACTCGGAAAAGATCAAACGCTTAATAGAAACGAATTGCTTTAATATTTAAATTTGCAATCATTTCTATAAGATATAATTGGTTCTTGTTAATTTCAGTCAGCCATGGGCTATCATCAAATGTAATTTTGAATCATGGCTTTGATCGAATACACTAAATATAAAGATTTTTTGTTCCACGTTCTATATGTTGTGAAGTGTTAGTTTGTACTCTGTTGTATAAACAATCGCCTCATCAATACTCAGACGGTCACAGTACAAATGAACTTCTGTTTCGGAAAGATAAACTGCACCATTGTTGATTTTCGGTTTCATTATGTCAGGCCACGAGATTTGTTTTTATTGCTTTATTTTTTATTCTTCTTGTGATTTATATAGGAAACTTATTTATATTACTTCCACATCAATCTGTATTATATTTTCTTAGAATAACGGAATATTATTTATACTTATAAATAAATAATATGTTCTTTTGCGATTTTTCTTTCAACACAAACCTGTATAAAAATAATACCAATATTCTATGGTACCAATATTCAGTTCATTCTTGGAACGTGCGTTGAAGGCAGCCTTAGTAGGTTCGTTTCAAATTTGGTCACGTAGGGAGAAGAGCTTGCCGATGGAGGTGAACGTTTAACGCGCGTTAGATAAGGTCCCTTAAACCTACACCTGGGTCGCAAGTCCCAGGCACTGTTGAAGCTCCTCTCACTACAACGATGAACCCAGCACACACGGTGAATACACGGAATGCTTAGAGGTTTTGTATACGCTATTGTGATGGCTCCACGCGTCGCAGCTATGTAATTCATAATATTACTTTTAGACAAACACTTCTCACCCTACTCCACTTAACCCTTTATTAAAGTCTGTCGCTAGAGCTGATAGTTTAATATAAGCTATGAATTTTGAATTAAGTCATTGAACTCCTGTCGCCTTTCGAGGAATTATTTCATTGGTCCTAAAAAGAATTTCGTTTCTTTTTGATTTCATTTTAGAAATCTAGCATGCCATAAAATATTAAATGTAAATATCTTATATAAAAGGACGATAACGTAAATAAATTTAAATGAAGTAACTATTAGTAATTTATTATTCGAGATAAACGTTTATGGTTTACAAAAAGACTTTAAATCAAATTATTTTTTTATTAAACACATATTAACCTTCTAGTTTTATAAAGAGGTCAACTATTTAGAGCTTATGATAGCTTTAAAGTTCAAAAAATATTACGCTTGTTACTTTGTCATTAATCAAATTATATGAAATGATGACCTTTTAGTTTTACAAAGGACCACCCAAATGATAAACAAATTGACTGATACTGGGGATTTGTAACTTAATTCCCGCCCGCATTTACTTAATACTTTGTTAATGGTTTAAAATATGCTGGTTAAGATGGCGGTTTGTGTATGAAACTTGGGTTCAAATTGTATTAAAAAACCAGTAAATTAATAGCTGTCTTTTATACGTAAAGATTTTAACTTGATAAGTGTAGTTGTGTGATTTTATAGTAGTAAAGCAAGGCTAGTTATAGTTAGATCATATTGCTTCGTCGTATCTTCCATATGAGTACCTCTCAGTCACTTATTTTCGGTGTCAAGTATCTACTACCGTTTGGTATCGTTCAATGAGTGTCGGAAGTCCTCTGTCCTTTGTTTCCTTTCAGTCAAAATATATTTTACTTCCCTCATTTCAGCTACCAACTTGGACTTATCCATAAATGTTTATAATGATCACGAAAATCAAAATTTAATTTTGGCAATAACTATATATATTTACTTAAACAAAGCAGTTGATAGAATTAGATTTCTCATTATCATTTAAGTGTAATTAAATGTATGGAAATGAAAACAATGTTGTTTTTAAACTTTTAATGTAGTAACATAAAGAAAATTTCATATTATTATTTACAAAACGTTATAAATCTATACTAGTTATTACATCACCCGGGCTATATATGTACGTGTTACAATGTTTGTATGTATATAAAATATTGATTATAAATATATATATATATTACATAAAGTGATTTAAATGTTTAAGATTACGATATAATTAGGGTAAATAATGAATTGATTCTAACTTCTTTTTAATATAGAGAGCTGGAGATAATTAAATTTGAATGTGAACGAACACAAACTGTATGATAATTAATAACATTTGTCATAATAATATTAAACTAAGTTATAAACAATTTTTATACAAGGATTATGCAGTAAATTCTAGAGGACGTCTCAGATTGCGCAGGCGCAGATTTTGTTACAATAATCAAACCCGTTAGTTGTATAAGAGCGTTAGTTGGTTTATGTGTATCAATATATCTATATAATTTCATAATTTATTATCGTCGGCGTAGTCCTATTACAGTAGTTAATGTCGATGATATAAGAAGAGTTAGGAGGCTTGTTAAATCAATATTCTTGGAAGCTGCGTTGTAAAATCCTCCGTACACCTGTAGACCCGCTGTTTCGATGCTGGAATGAAGAAAAAAAATGATTACAATCACTTTACCAGGAATTATTATATTAATTTAAATGTATATTATAAATTATTTCATTGATAATTGTATCATCCCTACTAATATTATAAATACGAAAGTAACTCTGTCTGTCTGTCTGTTACGCTTTCACGCCTAAACCACTGAACTGATTTTAATGAAATTTGGTACAGATAAGTTGCCCTCGAGAAAGAACATAGGATAGTTTTTATCCCAGACTTTTGAAAGGTTTTCTTGGAAACGCGATATAACCGAACTCCACGCGGGCGAAGCTGCGGGGGAAAGCCGGTGTTTATATATAATTATGATTTTTTATATTTAATTTGTAAAGAATCATACTTAATCCTTTCGAAATGTTCTTACAATGAATAATAATTTGATTTAGAAGCATAAAATTATATTACCTAAATTTGCAGTAATCCCCATCGTAGCTCCAGCCCAAATACTCTCCAGTCCTGAGATTTTCATTCCGAAGCCATTCCTCCAAGGGTCTGAAGTACTCCCTCATGGCTTCCCCGTTCAGTCTTCCTTCACCAATAGTCTCCTGCAGTAACTGGCTCCAAGGAATTGAAGATCCTCTTTCCATGAGACGGCTGGAATGTAAACATTATACTCAATTTCTCATGTAGGTAATGCGACATCTATTCGTATAAGGAAATATGTTTTCACATTGACAGACAGTACGTATAATTTATATAGATATTAAAACAAGAAGTTGTAAATCACAGAGAGAAAACGATGCTAACGGAAAATGTTTAACAGTTTAGAAAAGAATATACGAACATTTTAATTGTATTTATAAATATTTAAATAATATAGTAAATATATAGATTTTACTTTACAAGGTTATTTCTAGTTATAAATCATTAAGAATCTTCTCAGAACTAAATGGCTTTTGGTTATAATATAATATACTAGAAGACCCGGCGAACTTCGTATCGCCCAATAATCAAGAAATATCTGTTACGTTTTTTTATTTATATTTTTGGAGTTTACCTATTAGAGCCATAAATCTCCGTGTTTTGAAGTGTGACAGAATGATTGACATATTAGTTAGTTGTCAAATCTAATGTCAAAAAAAAACGTTTGTATCAACAACTACTAATAAATTAAAAATTAATCAAAAAAACATTGTCCAGTGGACAAAATTATGAATTTAAACCATTCCCAGATCCCCTTGAACACACACAAAAAATTTCATCAAAATCGGTCCATTTGTTTGAGAGAAGTTCAGTGACATACACACTCACAGAAGAATTATATATACATATAAAGATATGAATGGGTTTCATTTTATGTTCATACATAATAGTCTTAATTTGTTTGCATAATCTTTGTCTTTTATAATTTCTTCCAGAAAAATCTTATAAACAACATATATTATATTACGAATACATTAATAATATATTTGAGAATATAATGTAATATAAACCACAATACACAGAGTATGCGGCGAGCATGAGAAAGTAGTCCGATATAGGAAGAGGTTGGTTTTGCATAACATTCAAACGCATTGTCTTACCTTACTTATGTAAGAAATTAGCTAAGTTTACATACACTAGGTCAAGAACGTGTAATATTTAACATTTCTTTATTAAAATATCTCTCTTCTATATAATAACTTTGTTAAATCAGGTTTATTACATCTTATTTGACGCTTGGGATTAAGTAACAGTTAAAATAATAGTTTATTGTTATAAGTTAGCGTTCCATCGTTACTCGATCCAGCGATCCGTAATGGAATTTTCACGTTATTTATAATTGAAAGTAATTTGACCATTAATCGTAGACAATTATACCTTACAACTGAACTCATTACGACATCAATAACCGTGATATTGTTTTACAGAAATGTAGATCTTATGTGTGTAACATAAGGTGTTGTTTCCTTTTATATCTATTTTGGTCTGGAAGTTATGTTTTCGACATAAATTCCGTAATCATTATTTGTAATTAAACAAAAATCTAGAACCTTTTATGTGAAATAAATTTCGTATTTCATATTGTTCCAACTATTGTATTGCGTATAACTTTGTTTAAATACTCGAAAGAGGTAAAACTTAAGCTACGTACAGTTAAAACTGTGTTCGAAATAGTCAGCTTTGCTTGTGTTACTTGCAAGATTGTAATGCAATCTTTGGAATTAGCATCTCGATCGTTTTCGTAACTATCCAGCCTCCAGCTGGGAACGAGCTTTCGGAAATCAAATGTATTTACTGTAATGTTATATTTGAGAGTATACTGAGATTATACTTCCTTACTACCTATAAGGTATAATAAAACAAACAAGTCTAATAAATCTTTGTAACAAAAATTGAAAATGTCTCCGTAACTCCGGTTTTCTTTGAAATCGGCCAAAATATAATCAAACAAATAGAAATAATAAATGTGTATTAGGTAACAGTAACAGTCTAGGTTGGGACATTCAATATTTTACTACAGAAAATTAGGTCACTCTCGCAATATGGGAAGTTGATTTAAAGCAATCGTATATTTGAATAGTGATCCTACAACTATAGTCATTTCGTTAATTTTACGACAAATGGTCGTTTTATAACGCTGAATAAACAAATATTTTATAAGCACAAGTTTTGATGGAAAAAATAATACTTATAAAATAATAATTAGCTCAGTTTTAATCGAAGCTAAAATAACGATTGAAATTCCGTGCTTTAAGAAGTGTTCTTTCCATGAATACTTAAATATTTTGGGGACAAAGACACGAGAAATAATATGTTTAAACATCAGTTTTACGGCTTAAATGAAGAAAAGCACCGAATGACTTATTTTGAACTAGGCAAGGTATGTCTTCTGAAAGCCAGAGTATAGTCATAACATTATATATTTTCGCATATATGTGACAAGTATAGATAATTCAATTTGAACTAATTTAATGGTAATAGAGTTAACAATGCCCGTATACACGTCAAGTGGTGGTTTCCTGGCGAGACGGACAATTGCATTATATTTCTTGATACCATCACTTTCTATACGCGTTAATTTGCGATTCATTTGATAGGGTGTTTTATTTACATTTATATAATATATCAATAAAATTTAATTTATTGCATACTTAACCAAATAATTCATATTTTATTGTAGAACATATATACTTAAACTATGTAACATAATAATTATGTACTACAATGTATTTATGCACAACCGTTTTATACAAGACGTTATCTACCCTTTCACTGCTTATTTAATTTGAAGTGAATATTCTATGAACTATTTTATGTAATCTATATATGTAAAATACCATTTATATTAAATCCTTATATATTATGGAATAAAATCTGTTTGTTTGTCAGTATGAGATACAAAATCTAATAAATCGTTACGACTCTTTAAGCTTGTTGAATAAGTGTTTGATGTTGATAGCTTAAATGTATTTTTCATCAAGGTTCTGTCTTAATTGGTTAAAATGTCAGAATAATTGTTGAAAAGCATTTTGTTTTGTGACGTATTTTGTACAACCGAATTCGGCTTACTAGCTAGAGATATAAAATAAGACTGTTTGAATGTTTGTTATTTATTACTTTACTTATAATCACAATAGTGTTCGTTGTACCCGGAAATCCTTTATCATGGGAACAATATCACCGGCATTTATTGATCAACTTGTATATTTTGATCTCTGATTTAAAATAAGTACAAACATGCCTTTTTATTCAAAAATATTCACAGCATTAATAATATAAATAAAATATAGTGGCAAGGTGTCACTTAACACCTTCGTCTAGACTTTTCGTGATCACGGTTGCTGAAAAGAACTTGTATCGTCGGGAAATTTTTGAAATAAAACAATAAAAAGCGTAGTTCATCCGAAACTCTTGCTTTTATTAGAAATTAATAGTATGTATATTTTGATTTTCAATAAATATGTTCTACAAATAATGACAAGGCACAACTGTTCAGGGTGTCGAAAGATTGTCAACCTCAAGTCTTGTGGACTAATTAGATAACTAGGAATAGTTTCAAAAGCTTCCTGGTCGGTTAAGTAATAAGACGTGTATCAAAATTAGTATTGCAGTAGGATAAGTGCGGAATTCTATCAGTTAAGTAATATCTGAATACAGTGTTTAAGCGGATTATCATTATACTTATTGAGATGTTTTTACTTACGCGTGTATTTATCCGACTGCGGCGTAAACAATATGAGGGTTATGTGTTTTATGTATAAAATGTATAAATATTACAAATTTTATCCCTTTTTACAAACTTTTTGGTTGTAATAATCTATATATTACCTATCGAAAGTTCCGTATTGAAGGGTATAGTGTTACTTTTGAATCCTTTCACAAAATTTTTATTATTACTAGTATAATACTATTTAGGAAGTCGTAAATAAATATATAACTCGCAATATAAAACTTGTTTCAAGAATTAGCGAACTAAAAATACAGAAAGAAGGCCAACCTTTTAATAGACTTGTAATTTCATTACGTTGCTTTTAATATTACATAGTTTAAGTGCGAAGCGTTTATTATACAAAGAGATAAGAAATTTTATATGATTGATGGGAGCCTGTCACGATAGATATCAATCATGCTATGCCAATTTATATTGTAAGCAATTCATCTCATTCAAATATTTTTAAACAATGTTCAGACCAATTGTTTATAAGAGACAAGATGAGTTATATGTAGATAAATTGATATGACGTGGTACTTTAAACTTTAAACTATAAGCTTATAAGTTTGCATTGTTACATGACATATAGAGAGTTTACAGTTTATCATTCAGTATAAGAGGTAAGGAGAGGAGCTTGGACAGTGAAGGTGAACGTTTAACGCGTTAGATAGAGGCCCCTTAAACCTACACCTGGGTTGCAAGTCCCAGTCACTGTTGAAGCTCCTCTCACTACAACGATGGACCCGACACCCGCACGTTGAATCCATGGAGTGCTGAGAGGTTTCGTCTCGTCTTAAATTAGCAATACTAACTTGTGCTATATTGATTGACTTACGTGAGCATTTTCCCAGCCTCTGGATTACGGTAGATGTCGCACTTGTGAAGGGGACGAGTGGGATCCCCTGGGATAAATTGTCCCGTCCTCAAACACAACGCCTGATGGATTTGGAATTGAAGTATCGTGCTCACGAAGTATCTGAAAATATATATTATTATAACTAATGAATATATTTGTTTTATTTTCCTTAATAATATCATATTTTATAACTTGAGTATTTCTATTGTTTCAATACAAACAAAATTGTTACATTATCATATTTATGTGATCAATTGCGTGTAAGCTCTCATTGATTACTTCTTAGCCATAGCCCTTTAAGTTTAATATAGATATAAGATAAATCAAGTTGCAAAAATATATGTATCAAATGCATTCAAAAAAAATTACAAACCTAAAGAAAATAATCATTTAAATGTATGAAATATTTTTATTCATCAATACACATTATATATGTTATGAAACCAAGAATATATTTAAGCAAAATTTTGCGATTATTTATTTATTAAACACATTTTTATTAGTCCTTAAACGAAATTTCAAAAACTACTGAACTTATTTTTTCACTTCCAATATAAAACTTATAAAAGTTAGTTATAATAGAGATATTATTTTAAAATATTCTTTAATTATTGTTAACTTTATTTTTTATATACTTCGATAAATATAAACAATGATATCATGATTTTGTTGTTGACTTCAATCAATCAGACAAATATGATGTTTGGCCGCTTTATTACAAGCAACATAATAATTTTTATGCATAAAATTAAGACTTTGATTTTTTAATTTTCTCAATATTTCTATTCGAATATATACATAATCATGTTTATTTATTTTATCAATGTTTGAAATATAAATTTAAACCAACAACTTAATATCTAATTTAAACAAATTAATTTATTAAAGATTTTTTTGTTTATTTATGTATAATTTTTATAATATATTACAATGTTATTAATGAATTAGAAAATAATTTATTATTACAATATCCGACCTCCATAATTCAAGTTTCTAATTAATCAGGTAATGACTGACTGAGTCATGATATCCTTGCCTGTTGTTACCTTGATTTATATTATAACATTTTTATGGCTTATTACGATCACAGGCGAAAGGAAAATGTTTGTTTTCATTAACAAAAATATATTTCGCTACTGTACTTGATTCATTATTAACTAGTTAAAATTATAATAATACGTGTATTAAATTCATGTTGACCGATTATTGCCCTTTTTTGCATAATTTCATATAAACATTTAAGGAATATATTGTAACCATACTTGCGTAGATATCATAATAGCTCAAAAGGTATATCTTGTGTTGTTTATAGATGTAATTGTATTAAAGAAAGAGATTTTTTCTTTAATTTCCATTCAGATACAGAAGACACTGAAATGGGATAATCCAGTTTAGTTTATTAAAGCATGCACGATATTAGCATGTCTAATAATTATTATTTAATAATTAATTACCCAACTGGAGGAATCAGTACGAATTCTGATTTAAGTCTATATTTTAATTATGAAGAACATATTATATAGTTCTTATAGCTATACTTCGATCGTTCTTGTAAATTTCAGTTTGAATTTAATCGGGAATAGAAAAATATAAGGAAAATTAAACTTAAATGTAATAATATACGTAAAAGGAACGATTAAGATTAAAGAAATGAATTTATTTTGTAAGATATGAAAAGATAAACGTTTAGAGGCAGTTGTTTATCGAGCTAACAACGTACAATCATTACCAACCTTCTATAATATATACGTATTTACTCATTCTGAGAAATGAGAATATATTCTATGTATTTGTTTTTATAGTAAATAAGTCATTGCTTCAACTGGCTGTGTGTGTGTAATATGTTCGGCCTCACTCTTAATACTTTGCTCTGTAAAAACAATGGTAGTGAGAACTCTTTTTAGACCATGTGTGACTTAATATTTTTATCTATCTTTAAAAAATGTTAATAGTATCAACTACTATTAACATTTTTTAAAGAACTATTACTAGTAAAACTTAGTCTTTTCGATAATTTTTGAAGGATGAAAAAGTTATTTTTTTTGTTCCTTCAAAATATTTGTATTCGCTACTTGTAATACTCTTTATTAAGATCTTTATCTTAGACGAATTTCAGTGTTTTTCATTTCAGAAGCGAGAGACAGCTACGTATTTTAATTGCATCTAGAAGTTGTTTCGTCAACGCGTTGTAACGAAATCTCAAACTTATTAAAATAATTCAACTTTTTGCCACCTCTTTGAAATGATTATCATTAACTGTTGCAATCCAGAATTACTGACATCGTTCATTCATACACATAATGAATGTCATCTGTATGACGAGAGATTACAACGGAAAATTGAATCACATTTTAACAAATATTTTGACAGAAAATCAAGATAGTTTGACAATTGCTCAATGTACGGAAAAGATTAAATGTCATGTAATTGTAAGTTTTCACGTATGCGTTACGTTTTACATAGCTACGTAATTGCTCTTGCTCAATACACGTAATAGCATGTTGCAATAACAGCTGTGTAGCTACAAAAAAATGTTTTTATTATACATAAGTGCACAGTAAAATAAAGTGGCAGTAAAATAAAGTGGCACATACATTGAAAAAATGTTCAAGGTCAGTTGCGAATAAAGAAAATTTTATGCTCTCAATAAAATTGCAATGGAAATAATAAAGGATTCATTTACTCAATATAATTATCGAGAATGGCTATGTACCGTTTTGGTTTTGTCTTTCAGACCCAAGCCGGCCTCGCTTTTAATGTGGGTGCTGTAATATATCTAAAATGGTAACTCACTTTATATGGTTCAATAAAGTTATTACACATCAATAATTTGATTAATAGTTTAATTAACAAACAGATAATTGGTGGGATAGTTATTTCGTAATTTTGAGTTCATAACACCTTTGTTACTTAAGAAATGTATACGTATTTTCTTGACTATAATATCTTTTAGTTCTTTATTATATATATGTATGACTTACTACATACTACTACAAGTTTAAAAATTTATGAAATTCCTCAGAAAATATACATATGACTAAATGACATTATTATTAAATTTTGATCATGATCTAAATTCATATTTCTTTTTTATCTCTGATTGCAATAACTGAGCTATTTTTTCGAAATCGTATTTAAAATTTATATTTCAAGGACTACAAAAAATATATATCATTTGCAAAACATGTCTCATCATAATTTAAATACTTATTTTGTCATATATGTATATGATTTTATTTTTTTATATGCATCCTCAATTTTAAATTATTTCATTTTACTGTATAGAATTGTGTTAAATAAATAGATCTCAAATTTCTTTATGATTATTTCTATTTAATATTTACCCAGTGAAGATCAATGAATGACTAGCACGTATGAACTTACATAATTGAACAGCTGATACTTAGAGCAATTTACAGGACAAGATATTTACGTTTTTATTATGAAAATTTTCATTTTAAAATAAATTTATTAAAACTTTCTCTTTGAAATCAATTAATAACATGAAAAAACTTGAAAGTATAAGGTACATTATTTTCTTTCATTATTATTGTTTTCACAAAAAAAAACTGAAGATGTTTAAACTTTTTAACCTTTTTCATTTCAATATTGAAATGAAGAAAAATATCTCATAATTTTACGAATAATTTTATACTAAAGGATCATCAACATACGTAAAGATATTTCGTTTCAGAATTGTATCAAAAATATCGTATCGTTGTCGTGTCGTCTGTTATAAAGATCATCAAGCCAACAGAAGATTTCTTAATAAAAAATTTGTTAATAAATTAAATGAAGTGAAGTAGTTTTAAGGCGAAGGTCAAAATAACATGACCCACTTAACAGAACGATGTTACAGCTGAGCTCAGGTGTATAACGATATTGTCGCAATTTACTATCGAGTATGTTGTATGATGGCAAACATATTAAATAAATTGAATCTCATTCTTGGTCAGATTTCATTAAACTCTTTATATACATATCAATTTATAGTATTGCCTATTTACAATTTGAATGATGTACATCATCTTTAAATTAATTTAATTCATATAAGAAGTTATGAATATTATTTATATGAATATAAGTGAATAGTTTTTTGAACAAATTATGAAGTATTGAAGTATATATAGAATTATACGTAGTAGCTAAAAGAAATATATAGTAAAATTTGAAAAAGAATTGTTGTGAGCTTTGTTAACTTTGAAGGTATCCTTAAAATACTTCTTAAATATATGTATTATTTAAAAAGTTACTTTAATTTACTCAAACGATGTCGTGGACAGACGCTAGTTAGAAGTAAATACTTTTTTGAAGTAAATTTAGAGAAAATTATTATGGAATACTTCCGACTTGTTCTGCTTTAGTATTTTTTGATAGTATACTTTTATAAGATTATTGATAGTATCCTTTTATAAGCCCATTTTAAGTTTGTACAAAATGACAGATTTATTTATATTCAAACCAGTTATTTCTATATTATGTTACAGAGAATGAATTAACTAATTATTTTTATATGTTGCATTTTAACAATGTTATGGAAGGCTGATGAAAACTAGTTATTGTAAAACATAATACAAGGAATATGATAGCATTTAAATAAATTTATATTTATTATATTGTACAGTTTTAATTATCCTCATTCCTCATACATTTCATATTTTGATTATTCAATATAGTTTTACGTTATCTCAACTTTCTTCCGCGTCTATTTTTAATTTATAATGTAATTCTAACAGGTCATACGATGTATTATGTATATTTAATATTAATAAATTCATAAATATATCTTCCTGCTTCTTAAAATAAATTGGTTATTTGCAGTTATATTTTGCAATATAATATTTATTTACGTAACTTCTTAGTATTATAAAAAAATATGAAGTTACGTTGGTTGTCATCAGTTTTAGGAAATTATTTCGTCTTTTATATCAGTATTATAAAGATTAAATTAACCAGATTTTATAAGGACATATGTAAATTATATATTTTTTAAGTTCCATTTTAATATATTTTAAAACAAAGAGAAAAGCAACGCTAATTTTAAAATAACGGCACAAGAAATTTGTTATATGAAAATTTACTTATAGATAAACATTGTTAAATTAAGCATTTAAATATTAATATAAATATCATAATAAGAATTTATTTATTTATATATTTTAATAAGACAAGTATGTAACAGTTTTATTAATGACATAATTCTTATATAATAATTGTCACAAATATTATCCACCAAGATTATATATCTGAAATGTGGTTAACTTATCTCTTTAACAAACTGCTTTGAAGATTTATTTTTTTAGTTTTGACTACTCGCAGACGAGATTTATTTTGACAGATGCATATGTTGCCATATTTGAGAGACCTAACAAAACAAAGCTTTACAAAAAGTATGTATGTATATTTATCAACAAAGCCGTGTCTCTATATAAAGTTGTTAAAAAGAGTTAGTTACTGATTATGTAATATTAAAAACTATTTACAAGTTGAATACATCACAAGTTTTTCTATTACGAGATAGAGTTAGTGTATTAAGATTTGACATAAAGCAGTTAAAAAAGGTAGCTTAAAAGAATGAATTTTGATACAAAAATTTTCTATGTACAAATTCATTCTCATATGTCAATGGTACAAGACTATTGATACTATGTCAAATGTTGTCCAAAAAGAATGTAACATAGTTGATCTTAAATGAAAAAATAAACAAATGTAAGCTAATACACTTAATAAGCAACATTTACCGTTTTTCATTTAATACTATAATGTAAAGATTAGGAATGAAATCTATTGATGCTCAGTATGTAGTAATAATAATACTGATTTGAAAATTAAAAACAAAACTTAGTAAGATATACAAAATTTTAATTTTAGTCAATGTTTGGTATCTTAATGTACTTTTAATTGGAAGTGGTAATAATTTTTTTATTGTCTCTAATGTATGTTTATAAAGTATACAAAAAATAAGTAGAATGTAACGACTTTATTAATCAGACTCATGAATGTAAATAACAAAATACTATAAAAGAGATATACCTATTTCTTTATTTAATAGAAATTCCATATCACTTTCTCTACTAATATTAAATTGAATTATGATTAAAATATATTGAATAAAAAGTTAAGCTACAGTAACACTACTACAATAGCTACATTATAAGTTTGAAATGGCATACCCGTCTTGAATAATGCTCAAATCTTTTCCAAGTGATAAGAGGCCTTTGCTCAGCAGTGGGCTCTGATAGGCTGATGACGATGATACAATAATACTATAAGCAAGGCTGTTCTAAATGAGAAAAATTAACACATTTGCACTAATTATCTCAATTTAAGACATTTTCTTGGAAAGGTCCATGTCTAACGAGACATTTCACGAAGTCACGCCTTATCCTTGACTTTTAATATAGGAATAGTTTTTGCTATATCTGTTTAGAAACGTGACTGATAAAATAACAATTACTACCAAATAATACAAAATAGTTGGAATGTATTGAAGAAATTTTATATAAATGTATAGCTGATGTGTTCTAAGTAAAATTTTATGTTAGATTTATGTTTTTATCATTTGATTTATTAAGTGTTCAATTTTAACATCAATAAAAAACTGGTACAAATAACTTATCTTTCGCAATGTCAGCCATAAAATTGTATGTCAGTATCTTAAGAGATAATCTATTCTATTGAAGTTTTAATTACTTAGCATTGGTATGTGTCATATGTCAAGGAGTGTAAATGAATGGACACGGTTTATTTAATTTTAATTAAAAATAGAGTGAGTTTTATTACGTTTAGGTTTATTTAAAGATACTTACAAAACATGAAAAATTTTCCGGTTAGTAGTAAGAAAGGGATGAATTGAAAACATTACTCATACTCTTTTTCAGTATTGATTTTATTAAAAGATTCGATACACATATATTTACATCAAATTATTATGATAAAAATGATACTTTTGACTTGTTTTTAATAATGTTATATCGAAAAATGCCACATCCATTTTTAATACGTCCAGCACTGCTACCGGAACTTTGAGCCGGACCCGGTCGAAGGGCACAGCCAGTCTCTACAACTGCGACTTCTTTTATACGATGCCGTTTGTTTTTATTGAAGTGAATTATTTTTCAAACATATTATTTCTTATTTGTTATAATACCATTATTATTTAAAGGATTAAAAGAAAGCCTAGGGGAAACGTACATTGTATTTAAATTAAAGTACTTAAAGATCACACATAAATATTATAAAATTTTAAAAGAAATTTATGTTTACATTTCAGAAATTGGGATGTTAAATAAGAATATTTATTTCTTCGTTTTTTATATTTTTGTATATTTCTATACGTATCACACTATATGAAATGCTTGGGATTGTTAACATCTATGTACTTTAGAGGTATTATTTAAAATTTATATTTATATTATTTAATTCGGCCAATACGTAATAAACCAGAAATAGAAATCTGTATCAGATAGAAAGAAGGAATGTCATTTTTTTTATCAAATGACCAAAAATTATACGTCATTATATTCTTTGAGTAGCAAATATTGTGGGCTACATTCGAAAAGGAAGAGCTTTGAGCACAATTATGTTACTAAAATTAATTAAATACCATCAGTTATCAAGTTTAATTTAGATGATAGATGGAATTTAAAAAATCCGCTGTCTTCATGACTTTTACTAGACTTTAGTTCTATTAAATAAATAGTTGCCTTGATAATTAATATTCCGATTCAGTTAAGCGAAGAAAACATCAACACAAAACAAAACACTCGAAGAAATATATTGGCTAACATTCTATGTCCAAGACGTAGTGTTTGAATCTAATGACAGCTTGTAGGAGAGGCGAAGAAACAGGTTGTCGCAACACGACATTGCTTTCAAATATTATGTTGTGGAAAAATAGATGAAAAATAATAACATGCATGCATAGGAAAGGAAACCAGAAAAAAGACAATACTAGGAGACTATGTCATACAAAAATTTGGAGGTGGTCTAAACATCATAGTTATTCAGAAAGATTATAAAAATTCATATTGAATTTCATGAAAAGAAAATTGTTCGTTCAACTGTCAACACTATTATAAAATTTATTTATGTAATAATAAATGTAAATGTACTAATATAAGTAAAATATTATTACTTAGGATCACTTATCTTTTAGGGAAATAACTATTCACGTTAAACATTTTCTTGCAATAAGTTTGAATTTTTCCATAATTCGCAAAAGGTATCACGATACAAAATAAGTAATGTCACGTCAAGTAATATCCTGTTAATATGAATCAACGTCATATTGCTTTATAATTTATCGCATTTCAACAATTTCAGTAATTCTTGCATTTATAGTAACATTTTTTTGCTAACAGTACTCACGTATTCCATGTTTCAATTCTAATGACATAAAAGGCATCTCGAACGTTAAGGGTAATTTATTTTTGTTTAGTAAACTATTTGGAGTTTAGGATATTTCAACCCTTAGGCCCCTTTGGCCAGAAAAAGGCGTAATTTTGGTTCTTATAGAAGAGGCTGATTTGGTAATGTTACTTTTACTGTAAAACAGTTAAAAAAATACAAAAATCTGGTGAGGATTTTAAATCAAATTAGTTTCTATGATAATGTGTAGGACGTCTACACAATAGGCGAAAGTATTACGAACGAAATAAATATTCATACGAACTGAAGCAATAGCAAAATTTATTAAAAATTCTAAAATGACAACTTAACAATGGGAGCTTATCTATCATTTTATATCCATTTCAATTTATTGTAAAGTCCGTTTGAATGTCTGCAACTGGTTCACATGAGATTTTGTAATATCCGCGCTGTGACCTTCGCTATGCCATTCGCCAGCAAAACTTCGGTTCCCATAATTACAATATATCCGCCGTCCTAAAAACTAATGACGGATGGGTATAGACTCTTAGGTAATTAAATTGACACAACTTGTATTCTATAAGGTGATAAATTTTGTATTGAAAAATTACACAGCCTTTCCTGTAAATTGCTACTCTTACTTATATTTCTAGTTCTAATCTATACTAATATTATAAAGCTGAAGAGTTTGTTTGTTTGTTTGTTTGTTTGTTTGTTTGTTTGTTTGAAAGCGCTAATCTCCGAAACTACTGGTTCGAATTGAATAATTCTTTTTGTGTTGGATAGTCCGATTATCGAGAAAGGCTGTGGGCTATATAACATCACGCTACGACCAATAGGAGCAAAGATATAGTGGTAAATGTGTGAAAAACGGGAGAAATTATTACATCTTTGAAGCCTTTCGTTGCGTGCGTCGTGAAAACGGTTCAAGATACACAAAAAATATGTATTAAAGAATAATAGCTCTTTTAATGATCTAAAAAACAGTCGCGACAGTATATGTCTATCTTTTAAGATTAACTCATAAAAACCGTTATTATGGTACCTAATTTCGTCGAAATAATTTGTTTAAGTTGTATCAACATAATGATATTAATCTTTATTCAAATAAACAAATAAATATGTTGTTGATTAAGAGTACTTCATTATAAATAAAAAAAACATAGGTTTTATCCTGAAAATTCTACGGGAACTCGACCATTCCGAAAACCCCGCAAGAACGGGAACTATGTGGGAAGAACCAAAAATCTGGCGGAAGTCACTATTCCACGCGGACGGAGTCGCAGAAAAAGCTAGTAATAAATATTTAATTGAAATATGAAATATTACATGAAGTCGACCATCGATTTCCGCTGTGCTATTTTAACTCGTTTTGTTTTGACTACATAGATGTTTCACACGTTAATTAAGTTTTGCATTTCTAATGGTGACTAACGTCACACTATGGGCTATACACCGCAAAAAAATCAACTGGCAGTATAAATATCAGTATACATATATGTACATATATCTCACACAATGTTATTAGAACTATAATTATATATAATTACACATATACAAATAACAGTCAAAGTGAACGCGAAAACAGTTGGTTACGATGCGGAAATGCAAGAAACCTTGGACATATCCCTGTTTCTTAATTACGCAGTAACCAGATAATAATTATTTTCCCCATTACACTAAATTGTTAATCCTTCCAAAAACAAAAAACTAATAGACAAAGAAACAACAAATTCTATTTATGTTTTTCTTATATGGAAATATATATATGCATTAAACAATACGTACTTAATTTCACATAAGAAAATTAGATATTTTAAATTTATTTTTACGTATCTTCTATATGTAAAAATCAATTCTTTGTCAAATATTCTTTATCAAAAATAAGCCTACTATATAGAATTTATCGTGCGGTATTAATATTATTTTTTTTGATAACTTTTTGTTCACACTTCAATTCCAGTTATGTCAATAAGCGTCAAGTATATAACGCGGGAGTTATGTGGCTGATTATGGCAGCTTATAGAGTTGTCCTATTTCCTGATTCTGTTGAATATCCATTAAAGTAAAGCAGACTTCATATAAGAAGCAAAAACGTGAAAAAACTTCAAAGGAATATAACATAAATTGTTTGAGAGTATGATATAAATCTTTAGTGTAAAAAATTACGTAAAAATTCATACAGTTTTCTTGTATAATATGTATTACAATAATACAGATGCTTACATCAAGTAGACCAAATGTAATGTATGTTGAATAGTTAAGTCACGAAAACCCTATATTTGGACACTTCTGAGTACCGGACGGTCATAAAGATTCGAGATAAAAAAACGAAAGTGTCCAATATATACGGTCAAGGGTCAACGTGCTAGTGAATTGACAAATTTATGTCAGATCCACATATGTAATTACAAAGATATATTATATCTATTTATAGAAAGGAGAATGTCCATATTAACATATTAAGTAACGCACAACCAAATTGCTAAGTTAATTTATTATGATAACGTATGAAGATGATAAATTATTTTTAATAAGAAATAACTGGTTTCTGTTGCATGTGTAAGGATCACAGTGCATGAATTTTTTGCACTAAATACGAAGTCAATCATTAAATACTAATTACGTTTTGCGTAAGACCCGTCCTAGTTAATTATTGTACGTCACATTAAGTAATATAATTCATTCAATTACTATGTGTTTTATAGACAGCAGTGACATATGACGAAGAATAACTTATTTGTATACTTTAATTATACAAATAAGTTACTTTTGATATGTTTGTGCAATAAAATTTATATATTAAAGGTTTGAATGTATTAATAACATAGGATTGGAGTAATTTACATTCAAGTGATAAAACTAGTAATACGAATTGAAATGAAGTATTATAATTTCAGTTTTAATAAAAATAGATTTAGTACACTTAAAAGGAATATTTACAGAAGCTTTTTCCTTATTACAAAATAGGTCCTTTATAAGATTCATAAAGATTTTTTTTTTTATTTACAATTACATATAATAAATTATTGCTCTGTTTAATTTTGATCCCTTTAAAAACAAGGTTTCCTAACAGCCGTCACACTTGTTCTTGACCCAGTGTGTAGACGCGATTATTTCTTTCCGGATATACAATATATCATATGAATTTACGAAACAGTCTCATAAATATTAAAACTACTGCAGAAGTGAAGAAATTCTTGCCGGAGTCAAGTTAATGAGAAATCAAAAATCTAAAATACATAAATTGTTTGAGTTTTGCTCAAACATGTATACGCAATGGACCTTGATAATAATAGTAACATACGTATAATATATTAGCAGTATTAGAGCCTGAGAAATTTTGCGAGTTTTAACGCTTTATATTTTCTCATTCATACAAAATATTATCAAATTTTTAACCATTTTTTGTATTCCACATATCAACCTGTCATTATGATATTATTGATGTTGCTTTGTTACTCTTCTTTGAAATGAAAATACTATATTGGTTGATACAAATTAAATCTTTTTATAATAAGTTTTGTGAGTGGTTTAGTTTTTTTACATTTATCGAGGTAAACACTAGACACACAGACAACACATATGTACAGGAACATATGTACAATTATTATTTTCAAAGTGAGAATAGAATTATATTACTGATTTTTACTTTACAATTAAGTAATATTTAATATTGTTAATATAATTCATCAAGTAATAACTGAGTTATTGACATATCTTAATGTAGGCGTTGTTATAATTTGTGATGTAGCAAACGAGACATTTTGTGACCACAGACCTGCCATAAGTCACAAGTGCGCAGAAGTCGTGTTATATTTGGAAATATTGCAAGCAAATTACTTAATCTTGACCTCTCTATAAGTTAAGTGTAATATCCGTACTTGTCATAATTGAGATGGACAAATAAATACACACACTAAGACACACACACACACACACACACACACACACACACACACACATATTTATATGAAGATGACCTTTTATTGGGATTCACGGAATGCCCTTTAAATTGTAAAGACTTATATTATTTCACTTTTAAAATTTCATTTCTGATTTTATATTAAAACTACATTGTGACTAAGATAACGTTTTTATTAAGATGTTTTAAAATCCTCATTTATTTTTAATATATGTTTAAACAAGTTTCATTTGTTAATTGCAAAATTTTTAATAAATAATAGTCCTTGTTCCTAAACTTTATAAAACTAACAGTGTTTGTTTGTAAAATGTATGTGTTGATGTAACTCGAAAACCTTGAACTGGTTGTATCGTTTCGAGAATTTGGTAGGTCATTGACCCACATTTATGGAGTTCGCAGCATCGTGATGATTTACATAAAGATTTCGTTTATCTTTGTCTGCGAGATAGATTTTACTGCGACTTAACTTATTCAAATCACTGACCTATCTGAAATATATATGTTGATGACATCCGCGTTAATATTATTAACATTTTCTTTTGAAAATTAAGAAAGTAAATACGTATGGTTTTGTTTTGTACTTGAAAATATATAGAATATTTTATTAGTATTGTATTAAAAGGATATTCAGTTTCCTATTATAAAGGTTAAAGACTAAAATAATATTTCGACTCTTAATGTACTTCCGCTACGTAGTCAGCAGTGTTTTTAGATTTTGTATTTCTGTCCAACTAAATATTGTTTTTAGAAAGGCTTTTTGTGCCAAGTTCAAGATTAAGTAAACTTGATGCTAGGCTGCTTTGTATCAATTTAAGAAATCTTATTTTTGGTCAGTAACAGACAAAATAATAAGTTTATTTTTCTATTTTAAGTCCCATTTTTATTAATACAATTACATATATACATAAGTCCTTTATAAGTTTAATGGGTTAACATTCACTGCTCTTGTAAAATTAAAATTTCAATTATATAAATAAATTACAAGAAAAAACTATTAACTCAAACCATTAAAAATTATGTTGATATTTTCATAAAAATAATTTACACCTATAATTTAGATTATAAGATATAAATGAAAAATATAAAAAATAAATTCTAACGGTAATAGATTTGATAAGCCATTGCATTAAGATCATTATCAACAAGTAAGGTCAGAAAAAAATAAAAATAAATAATTAAGACCTTGATTTAAAATAAATGTATTAAGGATACTTGGTTCCTTCTAAACTTAAGCTGAATATTTTATTTAAAAATAACAAATATTTGTAAGCGTATAGATTTTAATTTATATTTGATAAATTAAAAATATCATCCAACTACAGTGCCATCTTGAACGGAATTTCTTTTATTCGGCATAAGTATCACGTAATGTTTTCGACCTTTGGTACAATCATGTAAATGTAGTCAAAAAAATAATTTTAAATTACTCAGTTAACAACAATAATCATTGATTGTTAGAAATGTTCAATAAAAAGGTGATAAAACTTACAAAAGAAAAGGATTTTGGTTCTGAAGTTTGTGAATACATAATAGTATGTAATTTCGCTAAAAATCTATCACATACAATTGT